TGTGTTATGAACATAGAGCCCCTCTTATGCACCTGGTGCATACATCACATTATATGAATTGTACTGCTCGAATATTTCGAATATTGGGATCTTGCTCTGCAGTCTTTGTTTATTAACAGCATCAGATAATCTAATAAAGTTTCATTAAGTAATAAATGTAGTTGACATTCAATAAAAAAAGTTATTGGTTACGTATTAAAGCCGCTGAACATGAAGTCAGCAGTCTTTATAATCTCATTTCCACTGTTAAATCTTTCTGGGGTCTTTACATTTGAACGAATTACAGCTTTTTTTAACAATTGGTAGACTAAATATATGCCTATGTCAATTTAAAACCCCGACAATATAAGTTACAATTATCATAAGTTTCCAAAAATGAGGCTGCTAACATTATTTTATGTATGCACACAGTCTCTGAACATGTAGCAGATTATGTAATGGTACCGCCACAACTTGTGTGTCACCTGCGTTTGATCCAAGGCAGCGGCGAATTACTTGATCGTACTCCAGCATTGTCTTTAATTATTCCTAAGTTTTGTGGCAAATATCCTGTTTTGGTTTTTTTTGTGAGATTACACAATGGTAAAATACTTATTTTACGAAACTTACATAGTAATAAGAAATTTGTAGAAAATCAGGAATTTCTAAAGAGTTGTAGACTATAAAAGACGGGCTCTGGCAGATAAACACACCAAGACAGGCAATTCTAAAGTACGCGGGTTGTGAGAAGTCGTTGACTTTGTGACTTTTGCACCATTTCATCCGTGGTGGCGAGTCGTCCAGACCAAGTGAAGTGCAGAGCTGAATTTTGTTCCGGAAGAGACAGTTTGTGAACTGAATCTAGTTCCAGTTTGTGGGATCATCAAGTTCCCGTATTTGCGACGGTCATCACACCCTCGCCGTTTCATTTCGAGCCCGGTCATTCCAATTGGACGTGGTCTTTGTCCCCGTTGCAGCTCACTTTTGCACCGTCAAGGACTGAACTGTAGTAGCCCCCTGTGGAATCCAGCTTTCTTCATTGCAGTGCCTGCCAAGATCTCGCCAGTAAGAAGTACTGGTTTTAATCAGATCTTTTCTTGATACTTTATCCTTATCATTGTAAGCTAGTTCCAATCTTTATTTTCTTTGTTGTCCTTTTTTTTTTCAAGCTTATAAATACTCTTCTTAAATAGTTTGGAATTGTTCGGATTGTAACATTAGTACTCTCTTTCTTACTATTACTATCACTATTTTTTTTTAATTTGAGGTTATCTTCCAGCACTTAACCATCTTGGAGGTTCCCAAATTAATGGTAATTTATAAAGCCATAAACACTTTCCAATATATGCCCTTTGATTAAAGATCTAATGCTGTGATCTCGTATAGGTTTAAAGCTGCTACTAGTATTTACATGTACTGATGAAATGTAATGGATACATCATTCGTCAAGATAACCAAGATTGCCACGGTTAATATTCTGCTCAGTATTAAAAAGAAGAGCCTGATTTTAAAAATACATTTTGTCAACAAATCAGTCAAAGTCTGGTCCAAATTCAGCTCTGTGTACCACTCAATACCAATTGGTTTTCTTAAAAACTGATTTTTAACTGATTAAAGTAGAGTAGTCAGCACAATGTTGTTCGGGAGAATTTTATTTTGTTCAGGGTTCCTCAGGTTCACCAGATTCTTTTTCTTATTTTTTGTGGAGACAGGTTGGTTCTACCCTCGCCTTCCGCCTCGCTGTTGTCCTGGTTCGAATCCTGGCTCTGTCCCCAATGTGGATTAGATTGTCAGCCCCTCACTGATTCCATGGGTTTTACCCAGAATATTCCTCTGGAGTGCTGCTCTCACCTATAAACTCTAAGTACTTCTCACTGTCTCCTGTCCACAGGTCTCCAAAAAAACGGAAAATAAGGCATCGTCTTAACCGATAAAACAATTTTGGAAAGTTTGCAAAATTGTACTCATTGCATGTCAGCTGAAGATGGTCTTTACATTTTCCATGCATTAAATCTGCCCTGCAAGATACCACTGTGCAGATTAAAATAAAAAAGTCAAAACCAGGTCACGGTACACTGGGTCGGTATCTACGCCCTGAATCCCGGTTTGCCTATGGATTCAAACGCGGTGAAAAAAAACTGACATCTGTTGATAGTAAATGAGTTTTGAAAACAAAAACCAGACACTGAAAAGATCTGTCCTTGGAAAAGTTCACTCGCTCTAATTTCAGTCTGCGCGAGGGTGAATGAACAATGTTACTCGTGAATTTGAAAGACTGATCGAGACAAAACTGTTTTGGGGGCCAAACATGATTTTTTTTTCTACCAGGGTTGCCAAATAAAAAAGTACTTGCATTTTTTCTGTATTCTTTTGGGGTCCTTCCGAGGGTTGGGCTTCATTTTGGGGGCTTTTACACGATTTGTGGAGGCAGGAGAATGAAATAGAGCAAAATTCCGCTTTCGTTATTTTTCAACCCCCCCACCCTCTTTTTGTGAGGGGATATACCCCCTCCCTTTACTCTTGGTGTGGGTGTCTGTCTTGAGCAGAAGGACTTTCTCATCGGTTGGAGCCTCTGTTGCCAGGAAAATTACGCCTTCTCTTGTTGGAGCTCGGGGCTCATAGATGAATTAGAACAAGCCACAGTTAGTCAACCTTGACAAATTTTTACGAATGAAACACACATTCCTTCAGTCTCAGAAAATGTAATCAGGTCCGTCTTTTTATTAAGCAGGTTTCTTTCTTGCCTGAATGGGCCGGGGTTTTGGAGCTGTAGATCCGCTTGAACTGGCTGCACCTTTAGTGCAGTATCACAACAAACTGAAGTTGTTCAACATTTCCAAAATATCTGACATTCCTTTGGTGTTAAACCTCCATTCCAACAGCCCCTCGCAACCGATCATGCCAGACTCTCTTATACCAAAACGCCAACAATGCATGCAGAGGTTGAACACCGACATTGCGTCAACGTCAACACTGGGGCGTCATACATCGCGTTGGCGAACCGTGCCCTTGACCCGATTCGTAATATCTGTAAGCATGTGAATGTTTGTGAACATACTACGACAAGAGTGGGGCAAAATTAAGACATTGCAGTTTTTGAGATTAAAAACATATGTCCAAAGGTCACTTGCTTTAAGTTCAGTCTTTACACGAAGGTGAAAGAACAATCTTGCTTGTTGGAAGGCCAAACGTGCTAATACTCTCTTTAGGAGTAAAAACGAATGTGCATCTTTCTATAAATTTTGGCGATTTGTGGTCTTTCTGAGGTGTAGGCTGTGAGGGCTTTTACACACTTTAGAAAGAAAGGAAAGCAGAATAGACTTTCAAATTTGATTTGGGTTACCTTTCACACGCCCACCCCCTTGAGGAGTGGTATGATCCCAGACCCAAGGATCTACCTTTGGTATGTGTACTGGTTGCTTTGATCAAACCAAAGTTCGTCAACCCGACAGACAGATTTTTTAGGAATGAAACACACCTCCCCTCCGACTCGAAAATTCAATTTATGCCGTAATTTGTCAAAAATGTTTTTTTTTCCTGACAAAGGAGCCGGGTTTTCCCACAGGATATGTGAAATTTACCCATATTTCGGCCATGAATCCGATCTCACTGAAATTTAACTTGCAATGCGATTCCACCCTGGTCTACGTCTGTGTCCATACATGTTGACCAGCGTTCATTACACAAAATCATGTCGGTTAAAAATTAACATTCGGCACCGTCTTTCTGGGGCCAATATTTTGCAAGAACAGCGTGTCAGAATGGTTTCAAAGGACCGCAAGACATAACCAGAAAAACAATTAAGACTCGGCACGATAACAAACAAAACCCTGTGATTGAGTGTCGGAGAAAATGTGAAAAAAATGCTTTGCAACTTGTCCTGGAGACGGAACGGGGTTCACACACACGAACCACTGCGCGTGAATTAACAGCACTCTCCCATACGTGATCAACGGATATGTATCACACGCGCAGTGGTTCGTGTGCGTGAGCCCGACCATGAATCGACCGCTTATGAAACGGTCCATCCATGGTCGCTGCACGTGTACACGCACAGCGCATCACATACTGTAGGTGTAGCGCAGGGACGTCCGTACGCCACTCTCCGACGGATTCAACGTGTCGGTAATACATGCGTGTGCTGTGTACACGCGCAGTACATGCACATTCACGTGCATAGTGAATGGAAAATTTATCAGCGGAGAAAAAAAGGCAATAACCCTCTTGAAAGTAAAGATACGGGCGGAACAATGAAGTGACGATTGTGTCAAGGGGTAAAGAACTTCTCTCAAGTGTTTGTAATCCCGGGTCGAAGTTTTGCAAATCATTCTGTACGTTTACAACAGTTAAGGATCCAACACGTTCAGGGTACAGGGTGACTACATACAAGAACGACCATGTCGATTACATGTATGTTTAATTCTACGAATGGCTTATAATTATTAGTGCCATGAAATTGCGCCAGTGGAAAACGTTACGGGGAAGTGCTGTTCATTACTATTCACTCCGGTACCCTTCGTTGCTCTTTTTCCCCTCAGTGAACCGTCAAGTTTTAAGCGAAATAAATCCTTTTATGAGAGAATTCTCAAAAGGAGCGGGGCTCTCAAACAACTGGCCATGAAACTACCCTTTTGTCCCCGTACGGCATCGCGCAGCATTTTCGCAGTCATGTTCCCAATTATAGCAGTCAGTACCGGGGCCACGAAGACCCTGCGTAAAATGGAGTGCGACCTCCGAGAATCGATAGGACATGTCTGCCAGCCACACGGTCTGTGACATGAGGTCATAGGTCATACATACAGCAACGGAATGTTGACTTCCGGAGAAAGGATAGGAATGCACTGCGTCTGTGTTTCTTATTTCCGTTTCCACCCCCCCCCCATGTTACTGGATTATGTCGTTTATGCTGGTGGGGGCGTCTGAGGATGCATGCAAATGTAGCAGTCTTAATGTTTCCCTATGAAATGCAAATCTGCATTCTGCATAGAATAAAGGTTAGGACAACGCCCCTGCCATTAGCAATAGGAAAACTGAGCCTATACAGGGATTGCAGGAAAACGGGAGCCTAAAGAAGGATTGCAGGACCCCTTTAAAAATGGCAAACTAATATGGGAACTCGTTCCTGGCGAAACGCTCAGGGTATACTTTGCCGGGTAAGATCACTCGATGTCTTACATGTTTACGGTACACCAGGCCAAGCGGCCACGTTTCTATCCCCTTGCATGCCACGAGTGGCTCCAGGAAATGTGTTTTTTTTTTCTTTCCTGGTTACTAAGCTCATTACGTCTGGAACTGTAGTACCATAAAATGTCTCGGCATTAGTGCTGCCTACGTGCGGTTTGGCACGTCGTTGGAAGCTGGCAGGAACTTTTAAAAAGGGAACGATCGGATCGCTGATGGTGTAACAAAACGCCTTCACTCACTCCACACCCAGCTCCTTGATTCTGGGGTAAGTTTTGTTTCTCACTGATAATATTGTACTTGGTTTTTCAGGAGGCCAGTAACTGCAAGTCCCAATTAACCTTGGCTTCACTTGATTATAACCATTATCACTATAAAACGAATAACTCTAATCAAACACGAGGTTTTCCGTGAGCTTTGAGAGTGACTAGTCAACTGTGAGAAAGAGGGTGCAGGTTGCCGGTACTCAACTGGGTGTTGATATTTCTATACGATGGTCCCACAATTGGGGTAAGATCTCACCTATGCCTGGGCGGCCGAAATTCTTGCGACTGGAATGCACATACAAGTAAAAGGTCGACGATTTACTTGGACCGAGGTTGATTTGTGACATTTTTGAGAACTTGATTGGTGCCTTGCCACCATTTCCCTTTTTGTGTTTCATCAATCCAGCACCGACTCACTCAGCCTAACTACTACTTTATTCGAAGTTGTAATCAAAGCCTTTCGGTCGAAAAATTAGTGGAGACTGTCGACAACGTATGTGGTTGGGACCGTCGGCATGCATATACATATATATAATTAATGCAGAGCTTGTTGTCCATTTTGATACGCATGCATGGAAAAGCAGCTGTTCCTTAACCTTTAGCTTTGTAACTAGATGCAATAAAATGCATGTATTCTTCCTCTTTCTCTTCAGCCAATCAGAATCAGTGTGAAACGTGCAGCCCGCATAATGGCGGCAAAGGTGAGTTAACCTTTGATCTGCGCATTTCTCTCGTACGTGACTTCACCTGTCCGCTGGGTTCTGACATTATGCACGAAGTTACCCACATTTATAGCAGAAGCACCCCCTAATCGGTAAAAAAACATGCTAGCCGCGGGAGTATTCATTTTGTTGGTAGTGATGCGCACGCAGTGCATGCATCTGGTCGTCGTTCGTAACCAGCGAAGTGAATTTCTTAAATTAACACAGGAGCCTCCGTAGCTCGGAAAATCGCACGCGTCATCTCTTGGTCTAGCCTTTGATCAAGGCGTCCGCGGCGAAATGGATGGTCAAGACCACACAACGAACTGCATGCAAGCCCTGCATGCAGTAGCCGAGCTGTGTGTGTTGTGGACGACTGTGCGTGCCGCCGCAAGAGCCTTTAGAGCTTTGTTTCCAGTGGTTATCTGAATTATTCAATATATTAATATTATGACTTATTCACATTTCTCTGAACCTATCGTGTTAGGGGGGCTAAGTAGACCGAGTATATATGTCTGGGCCCTTACGTTCGTGAAGTCTTAGCACATCGGTGCGGCCCGGTATTTGAAATTCTTGCCATATCCAGTTGGAAGATTGACAAAAACGTCTAAACCCTCCAGAACAGCCTTCACGGCGGCCAACATTTGCTGTGGTTTCCATTTGTCGATTTGAATCCCAAGCTTCGGTGTTGCATGTTTGAGGCAATTCTGGTAGAGATTGTCTTCTAGAGCTTACACCACTGCCGGAAAGGACGCCGTGTTGAATACGCACGCCATCGTAATGATGAATAATTTATTACATGCGCCACAGAGGCGATCATTTTGATTGGTAGAGACCTATGCATACGCATTATATCGTATCTTCTACCCAAACGGTAGCAAATGTAAAGAAAAACATCAGCTACATGGGGCCGGGGCAGTACTCCAAAGGCGTTCAGGGCGTGTGGTTCATCGTGTGGTCTTTCTTCGTGCGTTGGTTTTGGTGCTTAAACTTATCTCCTCCAGCTCCTCGCTCATGAGCGACTATAAATTTCGCCGCGGGCGCCTTGATCAAAGGCTACTCTAGGTCCAGCTCGGGGCCCATAATTCCCTAGATATACAGTGTTGTTAAACGAAAGGATGAGTTGAGTGATTTAACATTGAATTAACGAGCAAGCAGCTTCATCAGTCTTAGTTCAAGTTGGAAGTTCATTGTAAGAACAGCATTTACAGTTAAACACGTTGAACATGTATAACCCAGATTCATAAATACCTCAGACGGTCTCCCTATTCAACAAATGCAACTTGACTGTGTATTAACATTTCATTATGCCCGCTGAGAAGTAATAATGTCCGCTGCGTAAATTACGCGGTGGTGTCTGGATGCAAGTCTTTAATTAATCGATTCTGATTGGTCAAGAGTCTACGTGCGTGCTGCTCGCCAAGCGCGAGCCAAGTCCATAAAAGGAGATTCTTGCGGACAAATTGCATAAGGAATTTACAAAACGAAAGTAAAAGTCTTCAACAAAATCGTTATCAATCTATTATTGACTGCTCAAGACTCTGGCTAAATAGGTATTCATGAATGGGATTAACTATTTGCCAAGCCAACTTGGTTTCAAACTTCGCGCTTATGCCGTGCCGAATACCAGAATGTAAACCTTCATTGTATTCGACACGGCATAAGCACGACGTTTGAAACGGGCCTCATTTAGCGAATTCGTTTAGGATCGTTTTTAAATGCCGCACGCTGGTGCATACACGTTCAGCTTAGTGAATTATGTTAAGCATTTAATCTATTCCTTGACGTATTTCAGTGTAAAACATCCAACCATGTCTCTGTGAAACGTGTGAAGGGCTTAGAAATGTGTTTAAATTTTATGTGCATTTTTTACAGTGTAGGTCACGAATTCGGCTAGCGTCGCGATAAAAAGCCCCTCGCACGAATGATAATGAAAAGCCACAAACGTATTACCAATGCGAGGGCGCAACACTATAATAACGCATGCCTGATTGGTCAGCTACGATGTCATGACTTGCATGGAGGGACGAATGAACGAAGACTTCAGTGACGTAATTCACGATCCACCAATCAGATGACAGAGATTTATGCAAGTGTTGTAGGCAGGGGATACAACCAACGGTTCCAACGTTAGGCCAGATAATTTATGACAGGTGATTAGCGAACTACGGACAACGGGGGGTTATTAAGGTGTCGAAGAGAAACACCTACAGACTGGTATGATTTGGTCACTAGGGCCAGTCGATCTCCCCTTAAGAATGTGGGCCTCGCAAAAGACGACCCTTTTCCCGTCAGTCGCCGCCCCTAAAATGCAATGGAATCGAGTTGAATTGAATGAGACAAGTGCTATAACGCAGAGTTTCCTTTTACAGATAATTCTTTACCAGGACACAGAATTTCGAGGGGCTTCCCGGGAGGTTACCGAAGACATCACCGATCTGAGTTCTATTGGTTTTAGTAACAGGGTGTCTTCCCTCAAGGTTGTTGGTAGCGTGTAAGTAAAACAACTTGTTAACCCTCGCAAATATCTGAGCATAGAAAAATGGACTTGATCACTACAGCTTGCAACATTAGCAAATAATAATTCCAAGGGTGTTCTATGCGGGGATAAATTTCTCTCAGATTGGTCAGGTGACATGAAATAGTTAAGCCACCTGACCTGCGTCAGGTTTTGGAACTAGACTATGATCTCGATGTTGCTGTCTTCCCATTGGCACTTTGCATCCATCGTAGACGTTGGGCTGAATTTCCTCGAATTAATAATCTCAAAAGTGACACTCCAGGCCTAAAATCCTTAATAAAGGTAGTTATCTTTTTTTGCTATTTTAACGTCCACAAAATTAGGAAAATAGTTCATTTCGCTCAAACACCAAGCACCTGCAACTGATTTTCACCGTCTCAAACGTTTACAGAATGAACAAGCAGTTGCGACTGAGCTATTTTTGCTGTCACCCACAGCGCCCTCTTTGTCTTACGGAGGCTTACTACATGAAACAAGGTCATGCAGGTAGTTGCGTGTCATTGACATTATTTTGTGTATAGGTGGGTTGGCTATGAGGATCCGTACTTCAGTGGTCGGCAGTACGTTCTGGAGGAGGGTGAATTTGATAACTGGCGCTCTTGGCACGGCTCCAGAGATGAACTGTCCTCGTTGAAAAAGCTGAATCTGGTAAGAAGTGGCTTTTTCTTCTTTCTAGCAGGCATAGCAACCAAACTTTCATGATGCGCAGTCTTCATTGCTATCTACACCTATAAACTCAGACAAGTCAGAATTTATTTGCAAATAAATAAAGTCTGTCTAATCGCCAACGATATTTAACTCACTAAAAAGTCTGCTTTTGAAACTCTTCGCCTGACCTGTCTGAGTTTGTTATAAAAAAAGGGTACAGCACACAGAAAATAACAGGCGATTGGGGGAGATTTTCTCGAGAAAAAGTGAAAAGTGATGTAGTGTGATGAAGTAACTCAAATAGGGTAACCGAATTACATGGGATAAACAAGAAAGGCGCCCTCTTGTGTCTATCCATCTGAAAACACTCTGACTTTAATTCAGACTTCACGGTCCTGTGAAGGACTTGTGCTGCCTTTTTAGGGCTAGGTTTGATTATGAGTGCACTCGTGATCGACACGACCACAAAACTGTCCACGATGAGTGCAACTTTTCCATCTCCCGTCTCTCGATTACTTGTCTCCGTACAATCGGCAGGATGTCGGCGAGACACCGCAGATAGTGCTGTACCAGCACACGAACTACAGCGGAAGGGCCGTCAGCTTCACATACGCCATCGAGAACCTCAAGTACTACAAGTTTGACGACGAAGCCTCATCGCTTAGAGTCAAGAGTGGAATGTGAGGTTAAGACCGATTCCAGGACGTTCTAAAATGAGATGCGTTTTCTTCAGAAAGTGCATGAACTATTTGGGAGTGTGGACAACTAAATGTTACCAAACTTTTACCGCGCAACTTTTTGCGGTAACATTATTACAAAGTGTAAATGTTTACCATTTATCCAGTGGCGATAGGGATAATTGTATCACATGTGAACAATGATACCTTGTGGTTTTTGAAGGATTTACACTGATTTACGCTCTTACACACTTACACACAATATGTCCTTGTCTAAATTATCGTCTCCTGGCAACCACTTTTGCTGTAGATGGGTTCTATATCAGAAGACCCGCTACCGAGGGAAGCAGTTCGTGGTAACGGAAGGGTTCTACCCACACTATGACCACTGGAGGGGCGCTGACGATCAAATATCCTCGCTTCGACCGATCAGAGAAGTACGTCTAATCGAGTGCAAGATTGAATGCAGCAGGTTGGATTGGGGGAGTTAATTAAAAGACAGGCCGTCGGGGCCAGCCAGGAACGTAGCTGGATATTTGGCTAAATGTGGGTCTTTCCAGAGTAACACGATGAAAGAATCACAGCCAACTGGCTTTCCTATTGACTATTGGACAATGGGTCTTTTTTCTTTCAAAAACCTGTGTGTTGTTTTTGAAGCACCTGTTAGGTTGAGTTTGATGTGCGTATTATGCTGATCGAGCAATTCACCGCATGCGCCTTTCCATTCTGTCGCCAGTAGGGCATGGTAAAGCGACGACCATTTCTTGACCTGTGGACTATATATTCCCTGGTAGCGTGTGCACAATTAAATGTTTTCGGTGTCAGGCAAAGTTCCTGAACAAATTTATAGTCGTCGCTTGGACATGCCTGCAGTTTTAGTGGTCAGCCTTGATTTTGTCTGCCGGAATTCAATCCTTTTTGAACTGTTTCTTTCGTTTGCAGCCGTATTTCCCCACCGAGATACTGAGCATGGAGTTCCACATTGACCGGGGATGCCTCGACTCCACCTGCATGAGCCTGGTCAACTTGTCCCAGTGCAACGACACCAGCTCCGACCAGGCCGCCTCCTGGCGCACCACCCGCACCCTGACCACCACCAAAACCTACCGTTGGAACTGGAAGAACACCACCGTCGTCAAGGCCGGCACCACCTTCCGCACCGGCGTGCCGGTCATCGCCGACGGGGAGATCACCCTGGGTCTGTCCAACACCTTCGCCGTCGGCCAGAGCGGGGGCGAGGACAACACGCAGTCGGACGAATGGAGCTTCAACCTCCCGACCTCGGTCAAGGCCAAGACCCTGCTCCGCGTGCAGGTCCGGATCCAGCAGGGGAAGATCGACGTGCCCTTCTCGGCCGTGATGCAGAAGGGCAACAAGCGATGGGAGGAGGTGGGGACCTACCACGGCACGCAGAGCTACAACTTGCACGTGGATTACAAGGAGATATCGCTGTGAAACCATCGGTAGTACACAAGCAGCCTTTCGGATTAAGCCTTTTTTCTCAGAAAGAATAGATTTCTACATTTGCGGCAGATTAGTTAACCCACGTCCGACTTCTTTGAGATGCGATTGCCAACAACACACACATCTATGGAATTGGCTGCAGCCGTTACTATAAACGACTTTCATATGCACACGTGCTATTACTGGCCTCAGCCAAGGAAATTGGACACAGCTTGCCCTCAATAGGGGCGATATTTAATCCAAGTTTTGACATGTTCAAAAGGGGGTGATGAATCTGGTTTTATGCGTGCGTCAACTTTCTTGTGCTCTCCCTCATTTATTACCAAGTAACAGCTTGACTTTATAAAGCGTTCACCAACCCTGCGTAGAGCAGATTTGCCACACGGGGGATCCATTTTTTTCTAATTACGTAATTAAGAAAAGATTTCGGCCAAATGTAAAAACCTCCTGTTCATTTGTACCTCTGTAGATGCTGAACAGCCTAGTTTAGTCACCTTCAATAACATGGGGACTTCCTTCAAAGTAATTCTTTTCCATAGCCTGCCTCCGGCCAACTCCCATAGGGATTATATGCAAATATCTCAGCCGTGTGCTGATAAGGGATTATTGACAAAGAAAGTGCCTGGGCAAGCCTTGGAAAGCCTGGGAAAGCCTGGGCCTGTCTTATATCAATGGTTGGTCTCTCTTACGTGTTTCTGAGCTGTAGGCAGCTGTCTGAGTAGTTTCCTTGTGTTCGGGGGGGTCATATTTTTGTGGTTATAACGAAGTGATCTCGAAACGAGCACCTTGATGCGATGAGCATAAAAAATAGGCCCTGTGCAGCACAACTACATAATCAGCGAATGACGCACTTTGAGCATTGACAGGAAAAAATCGACCCTGTTCAGCGCAGCGTTTTAATGAATGGCGATAAACCAAAAATATGAAAACGCATTTCCAAAACAGATTCTTTCGATCATTGTGTGCACATTACTGTATTGCCTTTTCCTGCATTCCTTAGTTTTCTAACAATAAAATGTCTCTTTATTTGACCAAAACGTCATAGCGGGAAAAAAATTTCACGATCAAATCAATAACTGGATCTTAATTTGTTTTCCAAGCTGGGTGCCTTTTTCCTCATCTGATTTGCACTTTGACTATAGAGGTTCACCCCTATATATAACTGTAGTATGGGTGATATAGAAGAAAGCCTCGCCCCTTGCCGATAAAAAACATCATTATCATCGACTACAGACTTACTGCGAGACTTGTACGCCACAGGGACGCCATCTTGCTTCACAGGGCATCCAATTTTGCTTTTGGGGGATTAATAACCACGGAAATCGAAATCTGGTGCCGCAAAAAAAGTGGCGTTGACGTACTTTTATATTATCTACAAGAACAACATATATTTGAGCAGCCCCGCCCTATCCAACTGTCCATGAGCCGCTGTTAATTCTCGAGACGTATGAGGCAGGATGCAACTGTTCAATGCGTGCCGATGATGCATACAATCGGCAACCTAATTAATTATGTAACAGGCTCAGAGTCATTTTTTGGGGTAGTGGGTACACATGAGGAACGGCAACAGAAGTTAGGTCGAGATGATTTGCGCTGTGTATTTGATGAAGCTTTGGCTGCATCCGAATCTGGTGTCTAGAGCTAGGTCTAGGTCTTCACTCCATTGTAAATGCGTGGAGACGCGTAGACAAGAGACCTAGCCGTAGCCAGTGGAAGCCCGTTTCGGACACGGCCTTTGTTTGAAAGGCTGTTTCATTTACTGCCCAAATCTGTCGCGTTAAGGTTTGTTTTATTCGAAGGTAAAGCGCTCCCTTCAACGTATTACAGAGTTTAGTCTCGCAAACGTGGCCCCAATATCACATTCTGCGATCGTATAATACCGTTGGCAATTTGCTGTCAAGGTCTCGTTTATTGACAGCGGTGGGTATGGTTAGATCAGGTGGCTGAGCCCTAAAGCAGGGCAGAATGTATACTTGAACAGCCGTTGGGTTCCAAAGTCTGTAGAGGGCGCTACCTTCTCCATATGAAACTCTGGTGAAGGGATCAAAGCACCGTCACCAAGCGGTTACAACAGAGAGGTCTGTTAGCAACACATTCTTGGAAATAAAAACGGCCACGCCCACCTTTTAAAAAAAGGAAAAAATGTGAGGTTCCAGCACCAGTTTTAATTCCTTATGTCCGTCCATGTTTCAAATGTTGAATCATCTAATGACGGAGGGAACGTGCACTGTCCAAACTGTCGATTTCCTTGCGGTCTTTCTCCAACTTGCACAAACTCACCAACTCGCTAAAGCCCTCCTCCCCTTGAAAGGGTTGAATTCCAGGATTTGAAATGTCTTAAATCAAACACTTCTTGTGTTAATTTAGCACCTTACATATTCATTCAATATTCCTTCTCCACTTTGAAAGTGTTGAATCAATCTTGAAAGTGACTTTGCCGAAGAAACTGCTCTATCTGTATCACTTGAAATAAATATACTTTGACCTTTTTAAAGAATGCAAAGCTTATTTTTTATCTGGCTGAGAAGCCTTGGTACTCCTTCAGGCTCTTGTAACTTTATTTGCATTCAATCTGGCGATATTACTGTACAAAAGGTCATGAACAATATGCCCTGTAATTTGCATCTCAAACAATCTCGATATCTTTTCATTAGGAAAAGAAATCTTGGCATAATATAAGGAAGGTTGGGTAGAGAATGTTGATGTCAAATATGTTGTTAACTTTATGATCAGACAATTCTGGTGTGGGGAACCTTTCAAAAAGTTAAAGTGAATAGTGCATAATGATCTTGGACAGAATTATGGAAACCATTTGTGTCAACCTTAATATGCAACCTTAATAAAAGAGCTACATGCATTAAACAAGGAAAAGAACTTGTAAGTAAGAAGTCAACAAGGCGTCTTTGGGATTTCACAATGTTAACTAAGATTTTAATAATCTAAAATATTCAGGTTTCCTGAGATTTAAGGAGCATGAAATTATTAAGTATTACATAAATGTGACAAATTAAAGATTAGCCCTTTAATGCGTGATTTGCACACTCCAAAACTCATACCATGGTGTTTCAGTCAGTGTACAGTAAATGCATGCATTCGCCAATCATTTTGTGTTGTTGGTCATTTTCTGGCGAATGTGTTGCATGCATCATTAAGGAGTTGACCGGTTGGGCATCGGCTGTCTGTGGGGTTGTCCTGAAACTCAGGAAATTGGAGTCTTGCTTGACGAAAAATAGCCCGCATTATGCTGTCGTCAAGCTTGGGAATATTCAGGATTTTCTTAGATAGGGGATCTCTCGTTTTACCGGTAACATTTTTACAAGCAAGTTCACCTTCCGAAAACTCCTTTTTCAAGAGCAATGAACACAGCATTCGCCCCATTGCTTCAGGCTTTGATGCTGCTCGGGATGCCACTCGACTGAGAGCTCTTTTATAGTCATCAACATCCCGCACAGGATCATCCACACCGCCCAAAACATATTTGCTGGGATCTTTGGCAGGAACGTATTTTGGGACGACGGCTGGTGTAGGACGCTTTGGTGTACTGCTGTGTATTGAGGATGAAGAAGTGCAGCATTATCCCCTCGGAGGGGATAATGCTGCACAGAGGAATTTGCTGAAGCCTCTTGTATCTTTTTCGACATCACAAAGACTTTTGATTTGTCTCTTGGATTTACAATCGAAACAATTTTGTCCAGGTCACTGTTAATTTAAATGTGTTTTTTTTTACTTGATGAGTTTAATTTTTGGTTCTTGAAATGAGGCAATTAATTCATAGAACGAGGAAAGTTTCAGAACGTGGAAATGATGTACACAGTTCGATAAATTCAAATCTGTAAAGAACATGAATTAACTCATCTGTGTTTTGATTTTGTTTTCAGGATAATAGATATTAGTTACTTCTCGACCACATCTTTTAATACTCAGTTTATTTTGTGCTGGTGAATTAAATCAACCGTGTGATATAACTTTGCACAAATTTTGACACCTTGCATTTTTGATCAACAAATGACTTCAGAACTGAATGGGTATAATCATGAAGGTATAACAAGGGGCAGAGATAACACGCTTATTCATTTGCCAAGTTAGTGTAACAAGTTAATTTAATAAGAGGAAATAACAAAGTCTGTAATTTTCCCCCCCCCCTAAAAACTTACTCAGTCTTCAACACTGAAGGCATGACCGCAGAGAAAGTCAGTGTGTTCAGTGATCCAAGGTCAGTTTCTAGAAACCGCAAACCACTCAACTACTGACCCCATGTTACAAGCCCACTGGTAATGTAAACAGTCCTTCACAGTAAGTGACCTACTAATGCAAAATTCCCCGCAAGTTCCCCGCAATAAATGCACAGCTACTTGCGGGGAAATTGTGGGGAAAGGATTCAGTTTCCCCACAATTTTACTACAACTTATCCCGGACGAGATTTGTGATGACTCCTAACAAAGGCAAGCCTTCTTCCGTGTCTAGTGAAATGCGTCACACATTCAAATGACCCTGTTTTGGTGTTGAGGTTCGCCACACATGGGAGCTATCCGCTGAACAAAAAAGTTCATGGACGTGAATACGGGGGTTGTGGTAGTATACATCGCCCACCATCACATTTTGTACCCCACCGGTGAGCTATTGAATCACTCCCTACAAACGCAAACAGTGTGTATTTGCCTGCAACTGGGGACCCCCTATCGTTCCTCTTTTATTTGTACTTTAACTTTTTTAGAAGACCACCCATGTGTTTTGTACACAGTTGTCAATCGGGGACCCTCTGTCAATTGGGGACCTTATTGTCATCTATTGTTCAGGGTCCCCAATTAAATGCAGAAACAAACCCACCCACAAACACACATACTTTTCTCGGTATCAAAGAAAAAATTAACGCGGATTATGTGTAACTTTTAGGCTCTCCTAACAGCTAAAATGTATTCAATAGCACTCAAAAAGAGAAGAAAAGGCATGAATACTCCGTTTTGACGAAAGGTTCTGCAGGAGTCTAATGCTTAGTACAGATGAACATCTGTATCTTGAACATCGCCACCGGTATGATATAGAGTCAACACTTCCCCCCCCCCTTGTGGAACGGGCTTTACCCGACATAATGGTGAAGCTTTTATTTAGTGTACGTATTGTATCGTGTGGCACTCTCAAATAAATCAAATTTATTTCCTGCTTCAAACTGTAAAAGAACGGAGACGGTATAAATGCCGTCAATAAGACGTCTGGGAAAATGAAAAAAAACAAACTTTGTACAAGATAATTACGTTTAACTAAGAAGTCACGCAAAATATTCAGATTATAGCAAGAAGAAAGTACAAATTCATGAATATGATAATTAAGCATTCATTCCCGCCAAAACTTTCGCAGGATCGGCCATCCTCGATTTAGAACGTTTCTAGAATAAAACTGGATCAAAAATACTACAAAATGAAATAAATATTGTTCTTGATGTGTATAAGGACATTGATTACTGTAAATACTGGATAGCTGAAGAAAGCCTTATATAATGGTCCCTTTTGGATCGAGAATCAATAAAAGATACATTTCATTTCAGACAATGACTATAACCACGAAGGGTGAGAGAGAAAATACCTTTAAATAAGGAAATACAACTAGAAATAATAATCCAGGGATTGTAATGATGTGTAAGATCGTGCAGGATAAAATTAAAAATGAAAACGAATAGAAAGTGATAATTTACCTGAAAAAGAACGGAGACGGAATGCATGCCGTTAATAAGACGTCTCTGGAAAATGAAAAATGAACTAGCGCCCGAAATCGAACGTTGGTGGCGCTTGTCTAATTTGAATATGAATGATAATTGTAACTTAAAGGTAAATAAAGCTGTACCAAAATAAACGTGTGCGGGGTGTCTTTTTTATAACCGTTACAATTGTATTGTAGTGTATTGTATTGTATTGCACTGCACTGCACTGCACTGCACTGCACTGCACTGCACTGCACTGCACTGCACTGCACTGTATTGTATTGTATTGTATTGTATTGTATTGTATTGTATTGTATTGTATTGTATTGTATTGTATTGTATTGTATTGTATTGTATTGTATTGTATTGTATTGTATTGTATTGTATTGTATTGTATTGTATTGTATTGTATTGTATTGTATTGTATTGTATTGTATTGTATTGTATTGCGAGCCCCGCCCATTAGGAGACCAATCTGCAATTTTTTGGCGGGCCGTCCTCCACCTATAGGACCAGAGGTGCAGAGGACAAAAAGCTCCCAAAAGTAAACGATTTCCATTGTTAATCATAAGGCTTGTTTCCACACTTTATCGCTGACCCATTTTTTTTTTACAACATGTTAATTGTACAGTACACCTGAGTCAACATTCATTAACATTTCAATGACTCTTCGGGGGGGTTGTTTTATGTCATAAAATGCGAAGAAGACATGATAGGGAATCTCGAAGAAAAACAACAAAACGTCGACGCGATTTCAGTGGGCCATTGCTACGCTTTTGAGATAATGTTGAGATTTTCATTGTCATTGTTATTTGGGAGGGGCAGCAGACGGGGTTATACATTCAACGGCCTCGAACACGACAAAGCCTTCATTTCCACGAATCTGTGTCGTAATACGGCCTTCTGGCGTCACCAATTCAACCAGTTTTAGGAGACCTACATAGCCTAACAATCTCCACGTTTGTCAGAGCATGTGAGATCGACAAGACAGGCACACGCTGTTTCTACATTTGATTCTAAGGTAAACTTTGCTTTTTTTGTTCGGGCTATGTCGTTGTGTTTGCTTTTTGAAGAGGTATTCCTATATTGATTCAAGGTTCCAACAAAGTCGAGCATTGGTCGTGGAACTGAATACTGGGCTAAACACTGCTAGGCTTGACAACACGCTTTGTAAAATGGCGTGAAATCGCAGAGCGGAGCCCTGTGTCTGGTGTGATATGGGAAGCGTACACTGCGGAAACCGGGTTGTTACATGGGTGTTATCAGAGGACCATGCCAACACTTTTCAACAAATTTAACATTTTGGGTACTTTTTCAACACTTTTAATTTTAACACACTTTAACACGATATCAAAGGAACACGTTTTGGTGAAGGTAACTGATAACATCAAAAGTGTCGTTTTTATCGAAACAGTGTTTGCAGTGTATGGCTACTCCAAATCTCTACACTAATTTCAACAAACCAGTTATGTAGGCCTACCTCAGCCGCACAACAGACTAGTCTGTAAACCTCAAGTCGGCTTAGTGTGCCTGCATGTTCATACACAACTATATTCACCGCCGACCTGTTTACACTGGAGGTTGTTGTTTGGTTTGGTTTGGTTTGGTTGGTTTGGTTTGGTTTGCTTTGGTTTGCTTTGGTTTGCTTTGGTTTTCACTTATGTGTTGCTTTCTATTCTTTGAATAGGTTTGAACAGGTTTTTCGTGCCTTCATTTCACATCAAAAATGTGCTGATGATTTGTGCACTCTGTTCACTTTCCCTATTGGGAAGATTCAAATAGCTTTGCATGTCGTGTTTTTTCTAACCACCAAAAAATCCCCCCCCCCCTGATTTAGGTCATTAACTTTACAGTAAGTAGCTGTTGTCACAGTGCTCCTTTCCATCACCCTCAAGAAAGCCGGGAGGGGACTCAAGCAATTTACAGAATTTGTGAAGAAAGTACGTCACTGCTACAGACACGAAATGCAGACCCTTGTAATCGTTCACAGAAACTCCATCCGATGAGTACAAACCTGTTTTAAGGACATGGTGAAATGTTTGTCTCTTGCCCTTGAGCTAACTTGTACGTACGACTTGTATGTCGTAGGCAAGATCTGCATGTTGTACGTACGACGTCTATCTCGTAGGCACGAGTTACCTCAGAGAAAATTTTTCACCATGTCCTTAATACAGCTCCGCAGATGAGTGTTCGACAACATGAAGCGCTGTGCGTCCTTTTCCTCGAACGTCAACATAAACCGGTTATTTTCCAATATGCACAAAGCAGGAAGCATTTTGAAAACGATAAACTAAAATGTTCGTTCACCGCTGACTTAGCAAACAAGTTGGGGGGATTCATTGAGCTCCATCCCTGCGTAACCACCTCTGCCACACTTCTCTTCTTTTCTGGAAGCCGAGCGCAGCCGACGCAGACAACAATAGGAACCGGTACGGGGCCTTTTCTTTCACCGTGCCTGTCTGAAATTCCAAACATCGACATAAAGGGCTGTGCCCACAGAATGGGGTAACGAAAACAGTGGTTAATATTTCAGCCTATGGAAATGAAAGAGATGTATGAAACCAAATATTGCACTTTATTTCGAGTGGAATCCACAGTATGAACTGTGGGCGACGAGGCTCACACGCGATTGCGGTATGCCCACAGAGGAAGAAACGGTAATACAACAGTACCACTGCAGTGTTTGGAAAACACCAAGCCTTCCCGACCAAGCTCGCTTTGGGAACTTTTCCAATTGATACACTCCGACATCTCTTCCTGACACACACTACCGTGAGCAACTGTCGCCGTGATACCGAGTGAAACACTTGTTTCACTTCAATCCGCGAGACTTTGGGTACCTCACTTCTTCGGAACCTAGAGGGGCCACTCTGGTTCCAGGAGCACAATGCGTACCAAAGAAGGGAGCCAGCCCCACACATATCTTACACCAAAAATTACTCGATTGGAACGCTGGGTGGGGCCCTCCTTTCTCATCAGGCCGCATAGTCTCTCTCATTGAATGCATAATCTGTGAACAACCACGGCTGGAATGTGACAGACATTTTTCAGAAGATAATCACAGCTTTTAAAGACACCACAAAACACTTTTGCTTCCGTAATCATCTCTTCGGTATTTTTAAAAGTGGGTGAACATGTGTGGCAGCACTGTTGTGGATTAAAACTGTGCCGTTATCAAAAATTGGCACCAAATCTAGCGAAATGGACCTACCCGATGATTCCAAAACCAGGCTGCTGGTTATTTTCATGTTTGAAAATTCCTCTGCCTGAGTGTTATTTCACTCACTTCAAGGAGATCCAAAGTCTAAGTTCTCTGTGCATAAAGCTTTGGTTTATTACAGGCTATGACAGTTTGGGACTCACGTATGCTCATGCCTCCACTTAGTTGGTACGCATGCGCACTGAATCCTTCTACATCGCCAAAAGCCAGTAAAATGGCTCTTGACTCGGGCAGGTGGACCCAAAAAGTAATCGATCAACATCAAGCACAGATAAAATTGTTTGCCCCTCATTTCCCTACCACTTAAAATTTAAACGCTCAAAGTCCCTTTTGCTAACTTGAACACGATATAAAGATCAATTTTTCTGCCAAATCTTTGCCCACATACCTCAAAGTAACATAGTCAGAAGTCAAAAGTGAAGCCAACATTTAAAGGCCGGGTTTTGTTTTTTTTTCAGTTTTTGCTGGGTTTTCCCTGACATTTCTCTGCTTGTGAATGGTGAGGAATATCATGAACATGCTAATGAGAAAGTATCACACAAGAAGGAAACCGTATGAATGAGAACGGAAAGTTTTTGTTTGTGCCTTTAAGTCGGGCAATTTGATGTGATTGTACACGTTCGTGTAATGCAGTAGGCCAACTCGCACCCAAAAGGAATCGTACCCAGGTCTGTGTACGTACGTGTGCACCATGCCCAAAATCCGGACATCTCATTTTTGACCGCTGCCAAACTCAGTGCAGAATTTGAAAAACGAACCGCATTTCAGACAAATGGCTCTCGATCTTGAAAAAAAATAACTGATAGATTAAAAAAAAATTATCGGTCTTCCAGGCAGTATCACCGATGATCTGTGGGAATTCGACACATGAAAATGGGGCACTAAGTAAGGTGAAAAACCGGAAAATAACGAAAATGGGCCCCAATGGAAACGAGGTGAATTAAAAAAAACGATTTTCTTCCGAGAAGTAATAACCTTTTTTGTAAATAAGAGTTACTAGTCTTTCATGTGGCATCAAAGTTATTGAAGGTTAACTGGGCAATATTGTGAAAATTACACACAAAGCTAGGTAAAAAACGATAATTTTTCATAATAATACTTGGTCGAAAAATTGACATTTTCCGCTTTCTTTGATTATTTTCGAGCGATATTTTTCACCAGAAGCTATTAAATATCACCATTCGATAGACTCTTTGCATTTTATTCACACGCAAGGTCTTCAAGGGAAATGACAGTACAATCCTCCACATGGGTCACCACCGATAAAAGGTCGTCTGCTAGAATAATGTACCCGGCCAACGACCATTATGTCACTACTGCGCAAGCGTGAATACACAAACTAAATGCATACACAGATTATGGGGACCGGACGTATGTGGATTTTGCATGGGCCTGGCTAGATTGATGTCATTTTTCAAGCAATGGCCAACAATTTTTCAGTCAGGTTTCGGAACAGTGAGTCTCATTAGATTTACAGGAATTTACCTATGCTCTGATCTCAGAGTCTTTTGACTGCAAGATGGTACCTTCAGCACCGTTCCGACGTTTTATCATCGATTTAGTAGGTCTTGTGTGCGTCGTTTCCCTGCAACGAGTACACCTGATCAAAGGTTCGTTTATCGCTTTCTTCTTGTGATTACATGTCTTTGTTTAACTAACCTATGTTGCAGTAACAAATCATGCCTTAACTACCAGTGAGCGCATACCAGAACTGGATTGAGTCCTCTCCGTTCAAAAGTGACGGCAAGCATCTAAGACTATACTGACTGCAAATTGTGTGGGTTCGGTTACCGCGCTTTATTGTCAGCATTGGAAATTGTGTGTATTAATAGAGCAACATTGCGAAGGTGGACAGTATAGCGTCCAAACGACTAGATGTCACTAGATGACTTTACAGCATTAGCGCCCTCAGTTGTCCGTGAAAACATGGACAGTTTTTGCTTGTTTAAAAGTGCCTACTTTTAACGTATTTAACTAAATCGGAGTGTGGAAGAGTTTTCGTACATAGAAGAAAAGATGCAGAACAATTGTGTCGAAGGAAAATTGATGGCAGCTCACACTTTAAATCGTCGAGAGTTTCCCTGATAATAGATCTGCACGACGCACAGCGGGTCGGCCAGTTGCCATGGCAACGATCCATCCACTTTTAACCAATGTCACAGACATCGAATGCATCAAAGACTCATGGATAAGATTTTCCAATCACGTTCAACATTCCGAATTTCCTCCGACAGCAAATAACGGTTTCCACGAACATCACGCGTGCCTCCGTAAGTGCGAATGGCCTCCCAACCCCATGGTCTGCCGTTACGAGTTTACCGTCGAGTGGTTCTACACGATGTCTACTGACTGTTTCGACTGTCCCCTCAACCAGACGCAGTGCTCTCGTCCACAGTGCATTCCAGTCGACGGGGTGCCCCGCGCCATCATTGTGGTCAACAAGCAGTTCCCCGGACCAAGCATACAGGTAATTCTACACAGTAATCCGAGTGGTCGTCATTTCTGTGGTGGTAAACACGTCCGTGCCGCTGGCGTTCGCAACATTTGGCGAACGTGTACGTCACACCCCCTATAGAGGGATCCCAATACGACGCTTTTAGTGTCGATCTGCGCACTTCCACGTTTGAAAACGAGGCTGTATGTGTCAGCCTCAATTCTTAATATGGTCAGACGAATGAAAGTGAGGAGTCAAGACACAAAATACATAAAGGTATGTTAAATTCAGACTTTTCAGGCTGAAGATTTTTGTGGAAGAGTCTTTCAGGATGACTCAACAGGTAAAATCCAAAGAAAAATAACGACAATTGACTAACGTAACTGCGATGGTCGTGTTTCTTGTGCAGTGGGCGTGGTTTAAACTGAAGTAGCGTCACACTTACGAACCGGGTTCTTCATGTACTGTGTGGACTCCGCGGGCTCGCGCGACGAAATTCAACACTGAGAGCCTCGGTTTCGATGCAGATATGCGCAGACAGCGCTAATGTGAAATCCCTCTATAGGATCAGATTCAATAGTGCAGTGCTGCGTTTATGATAGCATACCATAATTGGGTATACAAGGTACGCATAAGTCAGCATACGTATAGTACTATTAAACCAGCCCTTGACCTCATAAGCATTTAACGCGCCTGTACAACCAGCGAAGGAATATTGTTCATGTACTACCACAGTGACCCCTGTTTTATTGTCAGCAGGGAGATAAAAAGAGTATAAAAATACAACGCACTGTGTCAACAAACCTAGGAGTGCATTCCAAAGACTTCAGTTCTCTACAACTTTCTCTTTTGAGTGTCCCTGTAATTGACTATCTCCAGTTTTTACAATTTTCCAAAGTCAAGTATTCAGCCAAATGAATTAGACTGGTCAATCTAACAATAAAGATATGCAAGCATAACAACTTGGGTTTTGATAATACCAAGTAATTGTGGCTTATTACTGTGTAAAAGCTACAGATTACTTTTTCCGGAAGCTTTTTAAATGTCTTTTCAAAAAAGCTCACACGTGCCTTGTCAGGAGATCGAAACCACAAATGTTTCAAATCGTGTTGTCTTTTTGTCCTTTGCGGATAGGTCTGTGAGCACGATACTATTGAGGTGAAAGTCCTGAACAACTTGATCAACGGCGAGACTGTGGTGATCCATTGGCACGGAGTGCACCAGCGAGGGACGCCCCACATGGACGGGACCCCTTTGATTACCCAGTGCCCCATCCAGTACAGGTCCAGCTTTACCTACAGGTTCAAGGCCGAGACGGTGGGCACCCACTTTTGGCACGCCCACGGGCCGCAGTTGGCTGACGGCCCCTTGGGGTCGCTGGTCATTCGGCAGGCCGCTCCTGACGACGTGCACAGCGGCCTGTACCACCAAGACCTGGCCGAACATGTCCTCCTCGTCCAAGACTGGACCCATACAGTCTTCATGGAACGGTATAGCCAAGTGATTTTCCATGACGTCGACATCACTCCTAACACCATGCTGGTCAATGGGAAAGGGCGGTCGGCCGGGTTCCCCGACAAGGCCTCCAACCGAACGGTGTACACCCCCTTTCACACCGTCCACGTCCAGCAGAATACGAGTTACCGCTTCCGCACCATCGGTGTTGTCGCTCTCGACTGCTTCTTCGAGGTCTCCATCGACGGGCACAATCTGACCGTCATCGCCAGTGACGGGGCGCCGTTTGAACCAGTCCAGGTCAGGGCGTTCGGGATCTCGAGCGGTGAGCGGTTTGACTTTGTCTTGGACGCCGAGGCGGAGGTGGGCAAGTACTGGATACGGGTCAAGGGAATAGATTCATGTGAGGATATGCAAGCCTTGGCGCTGTTAGTCTACGAAGGGGCGGCCCATCATCCCGATCCTCCTGAAGAAGTGGTTTCGGATCCTAGGGGAATAATTCTCAACCCTTTCAACAAGAAAAGCTCTAAGGAGTTTGTGAATATGCATGATATGATTGCAACTGGTAAGACTTAGGGAATATCCACAGCAGTATCACACGGTGTATTTTGAATGTCAAGATCCTGAAAGCACATAACGTTGTTTTAACCGCTTAGAGTTTTTCAGACCGTGACCAACAGATAACCGAATGAAATTCAAAACAATTATTCATTTTCTACTCTATTTAAGTAAGTCAGTCTTTGAAATGAGCATCACGCGTTTGTCCAAGTTACTGGTCATCTATGGGCCATCTATAGTGGTCGATGCAAAGGAAGGTGCGAGTGGGCGTATGCAATCGATGTAATCTCGATCTTTTTCTGGTTTTATCCAACCCAAGGAAAAGACTACTGGACTGAGGAACAGACCGATGTCGTGCACTATCTTGTTTTGGGGTTCGAGCTCGTCAACAACGACAACTTCAACCACCCCATTTACAACCCCGCCTTTGGCACCGACGGCGATCCGTCCACCTTCAGGGGTATTCCCTCCCCACAGATGAACTACGTGACTTTCAAGCCCCCTTCGGCGCCCCTCCTCACACAGTCGCGTGAGATCTCCGAGTTCGAGATCTGCACCTTTGAGAGTACGCAGGCCGTCCAGGAGCAGTGCAGGCGGGACTTTTGCGAGTGCACTCACGTCCTCAAGGTTGCACTTGGCCAGGTAAGACACTGTGTGCGAATTTACACTTCGACTGCGACTTGATATTGCGCACGACTACCACTCTGGGAAGTGGCTACGACCATTACCATGGACTTGTACGCGATTTCAAGCCGCAGCCAAGTAATTTGGACATCCCCTGACGGTACTTTTTATGGCCTTGAAAGTGGCTCTGATACATTACGTGCAAGCACTCAGAAACAATATCCATTGAATGAATATTTTGACTGATAACCTGCTGTCTTATCTGAGCAAGCACTTCTGTGCTTCACAAGTGTCTGTGCTTAAAAGTTGCGTCAAGTTGCCCCCACTGAATGAACGCAATCCAGAAGCATCCTTTGCGTGAGCGGACCAGTGAGTGAGTTGACCAGCAATGATCCTCGCCGGTTCTTTAAAATGTCAGTGCCGTGTCGCTTTAAATTCCCACAGAGGTTACAATATGCACCAAGATCTTAGGATTTTAAAAAAGGTGTCTCCATTGCGGCTACAGAACCGCGTTGGAGACATCCGGGGAGTCAGGTTGGCGTTGGGGTTCTTTCTTCGCCTTCCACATCTGCGGTCTGGGTTCTCATCCCAGCCGGTCCACGTGTGGACTGGATTTTCAGTCCCTACCTGATTCCATAAGTTTTACCCAGAATGTTCCTCTGGGGTTTACATCCCACCTTTAAAATTGTAACTGCTTCTCATTGTCTCCTCTCTACGGGTTTCTTCAGGCTTGCAAGCTACAGTGCCTAGGGTGCTATTGAGGAATCTTTGGCGTCATTACCAGAAATGATTAATAATAATGTTAACAACATTATTATTATTATCAATCATTTCTGGTCGACCATTTCTGGTCGTAGCTTAACGTTTTTCATGTTCAGTCTTTGTTGCGTGGCACTGTTCTCAACTGCACTGTTTTCAAAGGATGGATTTGCCTCTCAAAAGGCTGAGCGTATGATTGTCAAAGAGGTATTTGAAGTGAAGAATGCCGCATGACTCCGTGCTCCCCCAAAATATTCTTCACTTTGGAAGACAGGTCGAGAACCAGTCAATACGTGACAACCAGTTTAATATCTTGTTCGTTTCCAAGCGCTGTATACTTTGCTGATTGACACGCGAAATGAGATCTAAATTTGCACGTCTTAGGGGGTACTATTTAGGAGTCTTGGCAATCAATGAACACTGATTCCAAATGAGACCGTATAAATTGTGCGTGTGTGGTTATCTTGGCTCACATTGAACCTGGGCTTGAAGGTGGCAGACGAAAGGCAACACAGCACCTGTGTGAATTCGGCCAGTGTGACCAGATAATTTTGCCCGTGTTATAGTCTGGTCTGAAATGAGACGATTTTGTGGCATGGTCATCCATGCCGAGGTCACAATTCACAAGCTCATTTTAAGATGAACTCTAGCAGAGTTGTCGCATCGTTGCTCTTAAAGTGTGCAGTTCCAATCACTTGAAAAGAATGGTGATTTACTGGTGGCCGAGCATCTGATGGACTCAGAATTATTATGGGTATGTCGTTCGGACTTGCGATGAACTCATCTGCAATATTTGGTACATAGAGAGGTTATGCGTTGCTGGCCTCTCTGTGGCGTCTCAGAGTCTGTATTCGTTATTTCCATTTAATTGTTATTTGTTACAACAAACGCACACAAGGTATTAATACTCGAACCTATCCCAGTGATACAAAGCTCTGGCCCTCTGACTGGGACGCGTTAACGCATGACCCCTGCTTGATCGCATATTCCCCTGCGACCAGAAACTCTTCATCTGGCGAAGCCTCCCCAGGTCCGGCCCTGCCGACCCGCTTACCTTCCAATGATTATTTCCTCCCAGGTTGTGGAGCTGGTGTTGATCGACAGAGGTCAGCGGTTCTCCAGTTCACACCCCATGCACCTTCACGGCTATCGGTTCCAGGTCCTAGCCCATGACAGGTTTGACGAAATTATTTCCGTTGAGGAGGTGAAACGCATGGATGAAGCAGGTATGGTGGGGTCATCGACAGGACACCGGTTTTATCTCGACACATTGGACATGCCCATATAGGTTTGTACGGGGAATGTCTGATTTATTTGTCGACATTGGACATTCCCTGTACAAACCAATGCGAATGTCCAATATCCAATACCAAACTACCTTTACTGTCATGTGCTTTGCCCATAGATTTAATAGCGCGCACGCGAGGCCAAATCCTTCGCCTTGTGTGAGGTGAACTCGGGCTGTAAAGGCAGTTGGAATCTTTGCTACGTTCCACGGCACTTCGCTGGTTCCCCCTTCGGTTCCTTCGAAACCCAATAATAATGCTAATCGCATAGCCAGTGTGTGATCTTTCAAATCCATTCAGCTGACGGGTTTTAAAGGCGGGAAATAAGAATGTTGGAAGAGAAGTGCAGACGATTTGTTATGGCTTTAATACGAAGGAAATTTACGCTGCAGGTATCCCGTGCAATGAGGACTATTCAGGGCCCTTCAAAGTCAAATATCCGAATGTACGTGTATTGATAACACTTGCGTGTGAAAAACATCAATTTGGGTTCAAATGTGAAATCACGTGTACCTTTTAACTGGTAGTATGGCACACCACGGAAAATCTGTAAACCATTATCCAAACTAGTCCAGCGAGATGTTCAAAAACGACAGAGGCCCAACTGAACACATTTTGCCCTTCCTGACCAGGAAATATCACCCGTCGCTACCAAATGGCGCCAATGAAGGACACCATACAGGTCCCGGAGAGGGGTTACGTCGTGATCCGCTTCAAAGCAGACAATCCGGGCTGGTGGCAGTTCCATTGCCACACGGAGTTCCATTTCCTGGTTAGTTTAATATGTGCCTATGGCTAAGCAGATTTTATGAATGGTCCTCGATTGTCTGAGTAGTGAGGCATGGCAAACCTTTGACCCTCTGTCAGGCTGATATTGTTTGTGAACCACCAACGAGAGACTGATCTGTGCATGCCAATGAAACGGAGATTTTTGAAATCTACTTTTGTGGAGTTTAGATTCAAACAAAATCAGTAAAAGCAAAACAATCATGAAAAGAAATCTTTAAAAAAATGAACGAATTGCATCAAGCTAATACTCTTTTTATTTCAGTTTTGTTGTAATGAAACCGTCCATTCTTGAGATGGGATAAAATTGGCAGGAATATCATGGATATAAAATGAGTCCATTTTGGGCGGACCTTTCCAAAGTTGACATAAAAATATTTGTTTCTGTATGTCATCTCTTCAAATGTGATTGGGCCCCGAATAATCTGTCTTTGATTGGTTTTACAATTTCTTTACTTATTCTTTTGTTTTCTTTATGACGAATTACACTGTACGGTATCCTTTCTTATGATAATATGTACCTTGGCCTACACCGAATGAAGGCGATTTAACGATCAAAATGTCGACTGTTACCTAGTGATGTCATTTCTGCTAGAATTCCCTCAAAAATGATACTTCATTGACTAGTTCAATTGTTCTGGCAAGTATACAGCAAGGTTTTATTACACTTTCAGTCGTCACGCTAGATAACATAATGTGGAGGTCACTGTTAATTTTTTTCCTCCTTCCAAATCCTTGAAATGTACCATTTGGGAATATAGTTCCGGGAGTCTATTTGCATGAATTTTTTCCCGCAGTTCCGAAAGCATGAAACTGTGCTGTTTATCCGACGGCCCCTTCTTTGTCCGGACATGTTGTAAACCTTGACAGGCACCGAGAGCGGTCGCGTGACAGTGGTTTGGTTTTGTTTGCACGCAGGCCGGCATGTCCATTCTGATCCACGTGGGCACGGACGGAGATCTCCCGCCGATACCGCAGGATTTCCCGAGATGCGGCGGGCACTGGTACCCGAAGGAGGACCCTATCGCCGGCGGTCGCCTGCCGACGCCAAGCGCGACGCCGAGCAGCGCCGCCCCGGGCCTCAACCATGGAGGGATTTGGGCTTCTGTTTACGTTGTGATCGGAGTTGTAATGGCACAACTCGTTTCGCGAATGTTTTAAAGATGTGTAGTGGGTTCATGTTTTGTTCGCTTTCCATTTATTTTCCTGTCCAATTATGGTTTATAAAATGGCCTTGACAAAAATTTTGGTTTGGCCAGGATTGCTATACATTTACATACTTTTGTGTAATACAAATTCGTTTCCCTTTTTGGTTGTTTCAATAAATTTAACTTTGTTTTTTATTTAGAATTTCCAATGCCCCTTCTCGACAAGGACGCTGTTGATATGTTGTCATTAAAGGAAGGTAATGTCCCTTTAGGAACCCATAACATTTTACAGAGAAATGTTTTGCGAAAGGCCTGTTGAATGAATGAAACACTGGCGAAAATAAATTAACTTCTGGTTGTAACATTTCTTTTCTAGTATAACCTCGAGTGATCATACATTTTCAACTTTCGTATTCCTCGCATTAGTTGTCCAATAATAATTTATGTAGGCATATAGGGGCAATTCCAGAAATTAAGGGTCCATTTTTTTGGTGTCCCGGCACATCTGGCAAATAACTTTGTAAGTTCAGAATACAATTTCTAATTTCTAATCTAAGTGATGAATTAATGCAAATTACCTGCCAAACAAATAGTAATAGTTGAAGTCCATTCCAATGATATTTCCGTGACTCTTTTGGACCCCTGATTTCTGGAATTATCCATTTCCAGATCTTTACCTTTAGGTGGATGTTTCGTGGTGTTGTCTATAAATAAAAAGGTTTTATAAAATCAGCAGAATGGGCCTGTTTGTGTGTACAAAATGAGGCACGTTTTCAATCACGCGGAACGACGAATACTCCCATAAGGAATTAACCAAATACCGTGGTTTGAATGTGTTTTACAAAATGAAACCCTGTCCAAATTACACGCAGTTCTCAACAGCTTGCCAAAACGCACCAGAGCGTAAACCTTTATCATGATGCTACCATGTTTGTCTTGGTCCCTGTAGACCCAATGGCAATAGTAATACAAGTTCAATCATATTGATAAAAGGGAACAGGCCCATTTTATTCCCCACCTCAGTTTAGCTTTGAATGGTAGAGAAGCAAGATGGCTGCCCCACGATGAAGGTCTATTGTAAATGGCTCAAGCAGTTGCTCGCCGCTACCAAAGCAAGACTCACCGTACTGCCAGCGGTAGCCAAATAAATGGCCTGACCTTGCCTGTAGTGGAAATACTGCACTTGCTCATCGATGCCAATGAGCGCGAGTAGGTGCCACGCGGGATGGGGTGTACCCGTGGCTCATAGGACAGAGTGCTAAGGTTAACTACACTAAATACGCGCCCATAGAAACCAGTGCAAAATCAGGTCGAAATAGCGCCGCCTGTTGACTCTCAGAAAGAGGTTGGCCTCCTTTTTTTTCACTGGAAATTTCATATTATAACCAGAAGATCACTTTTGGTTTCAATTTTATAGGGGTTAGCCACGCGGTTTTTTTTTTTTTTCGAATTTCCCCGAAATTCCCTCCTCCCCCCCAAAAAAAACTATGCGCTCAGTTCTGAATGTAGCCACCCGCCTCTATCCAAATTAGGCCCGCAATTTTGAGCTTTCTGTGAAAGAAATACCCCAAACTGAAACATACCAGTCAAGAATTCAGGATTTATAGAAATATCTCTATGGTCTTACTGATTACGGCATGTCTTTTTGTAAACACCTTGAGGGATCACAAAGTATTAATGAGCTCGCGCATAGAAATACAACCATTTGGTGGAATGCACCCGTAAGAGACTATTGCACGTCAAGGGCATTTGAGTACAACGCGCTCGTGCTGCGAAAATTCCCTTGGTACTGCGCATGTTGCCAAAAATTAATACAAATTGACAGCCCGTCGGAGATGATGCTACCAAGGTACTTGAAGTGATGGATGTTCTTCAGTGGCTCTTCATCGAAATAGAAATGTGAGGGAGAGACATGCTGGGTTTTTTTTTGTTTGTTTGTTTGTTTTTTTTTGGGGGGGGGGTTTAAGCACCTCTGTCTTCTGAGGATTGATCGCAAGTTTGGGATTGGGACTTGAGAGTGTCGTCTGCATACCGAAGCTCGAAGATGGCGGTAGATCCAGTGTTGGAGGTTGCCTTGAGTCTTCTCAGGTTGAAGAGCCCACCGTCGAGACGGTGCCGGATCGTTATACGGTCCGTCTGGCGTATGATCACGTAGTCCAGCGTATGCCATTGAAGAGATCGAGGATGCATCCATGTGCCTTTATATATGTTAGGTAATTGAAACAATGTATTCCGTTCCCGACTTCGGATTTGGAGCCAACACCGGCGTTGAAGTCCCCCACCAGAAGGATCTTGTCAGCGTGTGGGATAGGCGAAGAATGAGGTCCAGGGATCCGTAGAATTTGTCCTTCACCTCATCACTGGTTAACAGGGTAGGGGCATAGGATTGGAGAAATATGAAGAGCTGCCTAGCATCGTGATCAGAATATAGACAAATATAGAATATAGTGGGAATCGGAGCGTCATGAGTCGCTCATTAACACCAACAGGTGTCTCAGAGAATTGACGAACCATAGAGGATTTAACAGCACAACCAACCCCATACATTCTCCGGGAACCCGTTGGCAACCTCTTCTAGCTCCACGCAATCCATCCACGGGAAATCACATGACAATCATTGGTGCTTATGCGCCTACCGTGAATAGCCAGTCATGAGACGAAGGACGAATTCTATGGATCCCTGGACCACATTCTTCGCTCTATCCCACACGCCGACAAGATCCTTCTGAGTATATGTGGTAGGGGACTATAGGCCTACTGATGTAATGTATGTTATTATGTTTTTGCAAATTGTTCTGTGGTTTTGACAGCAGATACAGACCACGCCCAGGAGAATGAAGGCAAAGGTGAATGCGGAACACCTGTACAGTCTATCCCACACCTACTAAGACGCGCAGCTCTTCGAACAAGGGTCGCTTCAATGGATATTTTTTAATGCATCAAGGCACATTTTTGTCTCAGTTAACATCAAGCTGGTTTAATTTATCACATAAAATTTGCGTTTCACTATTTCAGTAGGTGTTTTGCTTCCTGTTTAGATTTCATTCTAACGAGTATCTTCAAATTCATAGCAAAACTGTGATGTCATATTCGGAAGAAAACTCCGATGTTACATTGGCTTGTGCACCAAAACAAATTCTGATTTTAAGATTTTACCGGCATTATATCTTCCGTAGTGATTCACTAAGAAGATTGCTAGAAATCAACTCTTTGGCAGAAAAGTTTTCAGTGAGTAAATTATCGGTTCACAGCTGTCCAGGAAAGCATTGATAACGTAGAACATTTGAAAATAAAATTCACTTTTCGATACATCTAACCTTATACAGTGGTCAAACTGGTTATACAATTTTCACAAATACTGAAGAATAGTGTGAACGTGGAGAAAAATTATGTTGACAAAAATTCTTTGCAGTTACACTTTAAGATACGGATGTACGTGCAACATGAACCAATGGATCAGCGTGACGTACCTTGGAGATTCATCATCCAGGGCAGTTACAATGTTCTAGAAACTGGTATGAAAAGACAACTCAGCCGAAGACAAACAGCACATAGTGGAAAAGCAATCTCACAAGGAAGACGTGGAACAACATTCTATGGTAAGTGTTTGCAGGAAACTTTTTAATGGTTTTTAAGTGAAGGGTATATACATTAATTGTTGTTCTATCCTGATTATCGATAAGAAATGCCGTACCAACCATTACGGTACCAGATCATTTCGTCTGGCAAAGGTTGATTTGTAAAGGGAGGGAGAGCCGTTCGTCGAATGATGTAGGGGATTCGGAACATGTCATGTTGCCCTCCCACAAAAAACCTCGGTCCCGATTGAACTCTGTAATTGAGCCGGGAGGGACTCCAACCCTTGCATGTTTTCTCTGATATCGTTGCAATGCATTTCTTTTGATCGTGGTGTGCTTTCTGGTGTTCTTTCACTGATATCTTGCAGTATTTTGATTGCAATTCGATGAAAATTGAACACTGACAGTGTTTTCGCGAAATATCAACATTTACAACTTCGTGTCGGCCACAACAGGCTTATGCAGGTAGAACAAAATTGTTTGTCGGATTAAATTGAAAGAATGAACTACAAATCGAGCTTTTACATGAATGCCACGTGTCAGGCTCTTGCTTCAAAAAAAGTCTACAAAGCCTGGAATAGGTGGACTGACTGAATAAATGCAATAGTTTGTTTTGTACACTTTTTGTGGACCAAAATGGATCCGGATCACAGGCGGTACAGAGCCAAATTTTCTGGCAGACGGGACCAAAAACTTTTCAATATGGGGTGTAATCGTCCGTAGCCTTTCTAAGGTTCGTCTCATTTGGACTTGAAAGGATCCCGTAAGCAGGCGCAGATTTAGGGGGCTGGGATCGACCCCCCCTGCTAATCACCCGTTTTGAGGGGCCTACGTCGGAGGAAGACTCTATACAGAGAATAAATCATGTAGGGACTTATTTTGCGTGTATATACCCAGGAAAAAACGTGAAAATGGCTCCCCCAAATGACGCCAACTGAGCCCTCCCTTGTATGAGCAAAAACTTACCGAAACACCCCCCCAGCAAACACAAAATCCCGGATTCATTGGCGTATCTAGCTTGAGGACTTGCCCTTGACGGATTTTGTCACTTTTATTTCCACTTGCAAATTTATTTATTAATTTTTTATGTTATTATTTATGTGTCCAATATTAGTGCCACAACTGTAAAAAAAAAAAAAAAAAAAACACAATAAAGCCAAAGCTAGGATTTGGGGACTGTCAGTAAGGCTTTTGATGTTTTCCCCCAACATCCAACATCATGTCAACCCCAAACTAAAACCGCAATCGCTTTTGAATTTGCCCGCTCCACCACAAGTTGGATACGCTACTGCCTGAACTGGCCCCTGTCTGAGACTTGTAAAAAAAGGGGGAAGGGCTTGGTCTCAGGTCGTTATGGCTAAAGATTACCAACTCAAACACAGGACAGCCAGAGTTCAACGGTGAGAATTTGCTTACTTGTTAGTAAAACATGGGCAACTTCCTCATGGGCTACGTGCCACTGCCGGGTTCCCAGGGCAGCTGGACAGCAAGCCGGATACAAGCTTGCGGACGGCCTAAAGTAGATTCATGTATAGGGTTGTTTGTTTTGATGCTCAAGAACCCAACGTTAAAGAATCCAAAGCAAACACGCGAGGCACGTGACAGTCCCTACTCCAGGAAGACAATCGAAAGATCATGTTCAACACATAAATTCAGGAAAGCGATGGAAGATGTGTTTCAAGTCTGGGGCATTTGAAGCTGTTCAAAGGCGATGCGTATGTTAACTTGGCACTTGGCCACGGTAATTATGGTGGCCCTGGAGAGGCATCACCAATCGTCAATATATTGACGTCAATATTCACTACCAAAATTCACGACTCACTCTCTGGTTGCGAATATTGCCGGGATTTTTTCCCCAGCAAGCCTGTTACAGAGAGAAGCTACTCGGCTGTAGACACAGCAACTGCTTTTTAAACGTTGTGGCACCCTGCGTTGTGCCAAAACTGCCCAGTCGAATAACGACTTGAGATCAAGCCGAAAATGTAGGTCATTGCGCGTGAGCGTGAACATTTCATTTCCGCCTAGCTTGCTGACAAAAAAATCTCAGCTGCAATATGTGCAACCGGAGATACAACTAGTCGTAAATTTGGTCGTGAACATTGGCCTCAATATTGACGATTGGCAATGTTCCTCCAGGGTCACCATATGTAACCCTTGGGCTGTGTTCAAAAGCAACAACTGGCTGCCCTCTGTGCGGGGACTCGCAATCCCGTTCAGGAACTATGCCAAAGTTCCGGGAAGCATCCCTGGCTGCATCAAGATCTGTTTTCCAGAGCTACGACTAGATCTTCACCCGGTAGGAAATACACAGAGACGTGCAGACGATAGACCTAGCCGTAGCTCTGGAAGCCAGTTTCGGACACGGCTCAAGATCTATAATAGGTAGCGCTATTGCCTATTGAAATGCAAGTTGAAAATTTACTTGTTGCCAGCAAATGTACTACTTTCTATTTATAATAGCCTGGCTCTGCCCCATCTTCAGTATCGATTGTAAGCGTGGGGAAACTCCTAGTTAACCTCTGTGATTAAATATTATATTACCGAAGAATCGTTACTGGTTATTACAAAATCTGGTCCTAGAGACAATACACCATACCGAACCACTATTCCAGAAATTGAACACCCTATCAAATTTTAACTTATACAAATATCATCAGGGTATCTTAATGTTTAAATTTGAAAACAATTTTCTGCGTCCTGAAGTCATTTTTTGAGGAATACTGAAGTCAACTCATATAATATTGGGCCAGCAGCCACGTTTCGCCTTGTGAAGGCAAAAACTACTGTATTTCTTGAAACAGTTCGACATCAATGTCCTTTGCCCTGGAATAAAATCGGCCCAATACTATACTTAAGTAGTATACATGGTTTTAAAAGATATTTTTTTAAAGATTCAGTTTCTTTACCCTGTATTGTAGATTATTTAGTGTACGTTCATCATATTTCTAGCGTGCATTTATATCGGTAATCATGAAGCTGCCATGTATAGATTATTGATCACTTTCTGAGATATTATGACAATCCAAATTTGTGCTTAATTCTGACGTTCAGCTGTACCTTCAGTCGTTTTACTCTTTACTCCCCCCCCCCGTCTCTCTCTCCCCTCCCCCGCGACCCCCCCCCCCATGACGGCTCTCCCCTAAAGTTCGGAATGTTTAGTACAAGATCAGTCCGCAATAAAGCTACTGAGATCAGTGAGTTACTTACTGATCATGGGCTGGATTTAAGGAGACGGATAATGGTATCTGCATCCGAATCTCTTGACTAGAGCTAGGTCTAGGTCCTCGCTCCAATGGAAACGCGTGGAGACGCGCAGACAATAGACCTAGCCGTAGCTCTGGAAGCCCGTTTTGGACACGGCCACATTTCACGACCAGTTACCAGACGGTTTCAAAATTATTCACAAGTCCAGGCAACATGGCCGTCGTGGAGGTGTTGTTGTCATATCAATATTTTCTTTTGTCACCAACACTGACTGCCTTTTACTGTGGCAGGCAAAAGATGCAAGCGTTCTGTCCTGATATGTGCTGATTCGAGGATTTGTATCCCACTTTGTATCTTTGTGTGTTTTAGTGTTAAGAAGACGGATATGCAAATCAAAGTTTGCTGGGAAATTTAAGCAAAGCCCTTTGCATGTAGACGGAAATAAACGAGTGATTTTTGGCGGTAATTGTCTGCGCTCTGTATCGCTTTAGATCGCCTGCAAGACAGAGTTACATGAAAATATATTTGGCTTTAATGTTGGAAATACTTCCTCATTGTGTTTTGTTGGTCACCCAGCCTTGAAGGGGTCCTTATTATGCAAAGAATGTGAACGCACGAAAGGCTTCTCAAAGCAATGGTAGAAATCTGACACTTAACTAATATTGAAGCCTTTTGCGAGTTAACTTTGACCCAAATCTGGTACACTGAGTTCATTAAATTCAGGTGAACATAACTTGAATTCTCCTCAGTAAACCACTGTTGCTATACCTCGTGATTGGGGCAAGCTTTTTCTGAACACTTGCCAATGAACATCTGATTTGATTATTGAGGGTGTCGCTTTCATCATTTCGTTCTCTCCTAAACTCCTTAGTTACATGTAGGCTTGGGAATTTACTGTTGCCTTGCCTTTTAATGAAGAAGGAAATATTCGACTGACATTGGCTGCAGAAACTGTCCATATACGCTCGGTATAGCGAAAGGTTACACGACGGCAGTGTTGTAGTCGAGTCACCAATGTCGAATCCGAGTCCAAGCCGCGAGTCACAAACGTGGAGTCCGAGTCACGAGTCCCAAGCCTTCTATCAACTTGTTCAGCCAAATTATTCTCAGTGTATCAAACTAGGCGCAGGCCACGCATTCTTTATTTACATGTAAGCTTTGCCATTTCTGTAAAAAAGTGTTCATATTCGCGACTGGTTCTGGAGACAATGAGGCTGAACATGTACGTCCGTACTCGCCTTTCAATAACCTTGTGCCCAGCGCCACGTAGTCTGATTACCGCCGCATAGTTTGTGGATACGGAACATGACGCAGCTGGTTGACTCATCAGTGGATATTTAGCTGTACATATACTACATACTTGCCTACAGGTCAGCGAACCAGACTACTGTCGTTAGAGAAGCACTGCGCAGGTGAAGTGGTAAAAGGGCTAAGTGGAAAATGTGCAATGCGACGACGCTCCATGCATGCAAACCAGTCATTGCGCAGATGCATACGAAGTAAATCTCGACGGCGTATTATGTTTAATTAAAATACATGACTCGAATCACGAGTCACCAAGTTCAAGTCCGAGTCATTGTGGTCGAGTCCGAGTCATAGACCAATGTGACTTGAGTCGAGTCTGAGTCTTGCAAAATGTGTCCTTGAGTCCTTGACTCGAGTCATACAACGCTGCACAACGGAGTGACATAAACAGGGCTATTGTGACTTGAACCGGGGCTTTGAGCCCGTAGACAAAGACAAGTACATTTCGCCCCGGGCACAAGCCCGCATCCCGCTCAGCTATGTTGCCTACAGTTTCTGTACTTACCTCAATTTCTGTACGTGATAAATTTTGTACATTTAACTTGTTTGGTAAATGTTTCGTTGGTCACTGTGAAAGCACAACGTTCGCTTTTGCATATTTATTGTTTTCGTGTATGCTGAATTGAGTACATTTCCACAAGAGTACAAATCTTTTGACACGGATACTTTCCAAAGGAGTACAAGTCGTTAGCTATGTGTGCAAGAAGTGCAGAGCATAATATCCAAACAATACAAGTACAAAGAAAGCACTCGACCGCAAATAAACATTTTTATTTTCAAGTTTTAAAGTTCATTTTATAACTTGGAAACCGAAACAGGACTATCCGCAGAGGCCCTTTGGGACCTACCTTCATAGAGTGTAGCGAGTAAGCGTGAATGTCACCACAATTTTCCCCATATTTTAAGACAAGATTATTTCATTTGGAGCGCGACTGCTTTTTTAAAGTACAGCTTATGCTCAAATACAAGAATCGTCAACATAATTAAGGAAGAAGGCTTGACCGCAAATTCTACAATATCGGCTCTGCGGAAGGAAAGAAATAACAATTACTATTTAAAAAGTTGGACATATTTTGACCAATTTTTGCCATAAATTGGTGTAAATATCAACTTCCCAACATCTGGTCACAAGGTGTCTAACTGCTGGGTAAATCCTTCTGAAAAAGGCCACAATTATACTAAAAGTGACCAACATCTGGATAATTTACCCTTGTCCAACTTTTTGTTTTGCCCAACATTTTTACAGTGTAGTGATTTTATACAACGCTATAGCAGTATTCCCAGCACTTTATGAATATACGGAAATCTCAAGTGCCACACTGAAGACCAAATGACATCATGGAAAATTGTCAGGTTTTTTTTCCCTTGGACATCCAGGATCGAAAGGTTGATGGTAATAAGAATATTATTTAATCGTCAGGTCCTCGCTGAACTTGGTACAACCTCACCAGAACGCAACATGAAGCTTGTGATTGCTTACTGTATGTTGGTCGTCTTGGCTATGACTTTGCCACAAACACAGTTGAGTATTCCTGTCTCTTTCCGTCTCTCTTTCATTTTCGTCTTAGTAACGAGGCAGATGCGTTGTAGGTTTCCATCATTATATAGCATTTATGCAGTGCTGCAATTTCATAGCCCTAATTAAGAACAAAATTTGCTCTATGCATGAAAAAACTTCCCCCCCCAAAAAAAAAACAAATTTACCATTTCAAACACTGACTGATTGTCATGCTAACCAAAAAACCAGCTAAATATGATCCCAAAACAATATACATCACATGGAGTTTTGGCTGGTTATCTGATTTATCAAGCCAGGTTTTCTCACGCTTAATTGATACAAATAATTTCAAGTGCAATGAAACAAGGCTAACTGCGACCCAGTTATTTCTGTATCGATAGATGTTTGGGGAACAGCTAGGTGTTTTTTTGGTTTAATATGGTGGTGGTATTGATGATTGTGGTGAGGTCATGATGGAGGCTGTAGTGGTGATAGTGGTGTTGGTGGTGTTAATGGCATTGGTGCTGTTGACACTGGGGAGGAAAAGGAGTTAGAGGATTTCACAATTCTATTACAGAGCGTCAATAAGTAAAATGTTTACGGTACAGAAGAGTTATTTTTTCAAAGAAATTATAACATTTCTGTAAACATTTCGATAATTTTATTTTCCCGTCAGGTGTTCCGTTTGTACCTACGCCAGCGTAGAGAGTTACACTGTACAATGTGGATTTTTGGGAATTGCTAGATGCACCAGATACAGGTTTCATTTTAAACTCTTAATTTGCTGTTTGTCAATCATGGAATTTAAACCACTTTTTTCATATATGCATTAGGCAGTGCGTGTATAGAAATAAGATTATTAATTCTCATTTATTAAGGACACATTCGAATATAATGCGATGAAATGTACATGCGTTTGTATTCCTCATAGCAGATGCATAGCGAAATTTTTAGGAGACCCAAAAATCTCTTGAAAATTTCTTTGGTGTTTACGGGGTGAACATATGAAATTAGACGTAAAGTGTGTATTTGGGGTTCTACAGGCTCCAGCAAGGAAGAGAAAAGAACCAAACTCAAACGTCATCTGTCTTCCTTATTTTAATTCACCCCCTCTCCGAAAATGCCTCTGAGTCAACATGCATACCTCTCTCCTTTGATCCAGCGAATCTTAGATTTCTGCTCATTGAAAAGTCAACATGATTTGGCCAAATACTTGTACTTTCAAAAGACAAAGCAATGACCTCATTAAAACATAAAGATTTAATGGACAAACCAAAATCCATATCGAGCCTAAACTCAACGAAAAAAAACTAAGTGGGTTCTCCAACTTCCCTGTATGTGAATCTTGGTCAACTTGATAAATCGTCTGAAAAAAATGTCTTCTTCTTATTAAAACAGGAACGTAGTTCGTTATCGATACTGCTCTGCTGGAGCAACCAGCGGTAGCTGCTCCTAGCTAAGGTGAGAGTATGTAATTTCTTAATAACCTGTCGTGCTGGGCTGCCTCAGGCTGGCTGGTTGTGGTTAACTGTGGCTGGTTCATTAACACAGAGACATTCTGGTGTATGTTAAAGATCCGGCTTATCAGAGGAGAAAGGATCAGGCAGTCAGGTCTTCCTGGCAATTTGAACAGGCAGGTCTCCTCGGGGGACAATAATTTGACAGATTTAAATTCGAAACAGGCTTTTGATTTTTTACGCTGATTCATTCTTCACAAAGTTACAGTATGTATTCATGTAACCTATGACAAATTCCCAAGATAGTCTGGTTTGTTCATAAGTCATTTTTAGATCTACACACCTCCTCTGGATGACTTACTCGGTGTGCGTCTGCATTATTGCAAATGTGGTAGAGGACGCTCCATCAGTTATGTTCCATTGAGTGGGCCTTCAGACACTGAGTAGATTTTATTTCAAACTGCCGGGAAAGCATGCAAACGTATATTTTTATACAACCGAAAGGCATTCATGTGCAGGGACGGAACCAAGAGCTTACCAAAGCGCTTGCTTTCAAAATGACATTCTTGACGATTGGCTTTTATCCACTACTGTTGCAGAGCTACCGGACCATGAACCTGAGAGACCAGACCCTGAACCTGAGAGACCAGACGATGGCTTTCCTCGACCTTTGTGAGATCAACGTTGGATCTTCTGACTACTCACCATCATAAACGACGTCGCTAGGCCTACACCTAATACGTGTATTTAGTTCTTTCATAACAATCGATATTTTCAATGGAAAACGTACACGGGAAGAAGATTCTTTGAAATGTTGTTAGGTCGAACAATGCTATTAGACTTTTTAATCAGTATTTCAGGAATGCATTTTTTAAAAAATACATATCTCACAAACCCCATAGCATGGCTGCAGCCTCAATGGCATGGTAGAACGCCCGCCTGTTGAGAACGTTTTACTCAACAGTCTGTGGAAACCAGGTTTGAAAAAGGGTTGGAATCCCAGAAGAGCTCTTTATTTTTCTTTCAAATTGCTTTTTTTCTTTATAAATATTAATGTCTTGGGTTTTTTTTTTAATGCAAGTAAAGTCCAAATTTCAACGGGGGCTCTCATTAGGTGTGAAGAATAGTCTCCTCCCAAGACTGCCAAGAAAAATTCCCATAGGAAAGTACACTTTATATCCCCAGAATGTTGTGTAAAATGCTTCCCACTGCTACTCGGCCACAACTTTTCTAGCGATGAATACGGCCATATAGTGCGCCACCACGAGTTTGCAACGCGTTGGCCAATCATAATGCGCGAAATCTTTCGACCAAATGCGCGTTTGGAGAGGGTCGACAGATTTGGTGCGTTGTGATTGAACGCATTTTAAACTCTTGGTGGCGCACTATTGTGAATCGCCGGTATTCGACGCAGGTACGGGCAATGAAACTAGGACTAGTCATCTCCAAGACGGCAAATTTCCGTCAGTACGGCTTCAAAAATTGTGATTTCATTATTATCATCTCAAAGCGACAATCCCCATACTTGACCATGGAAATTGATTATCCGAGTTTTAATTTATCTCATTTCTTTTAATTGGAGCTCGTCATAGACTTGTAATAATGACACAGAAACCATTTTATAGACCGCTGAGTGGTTTCAAACGCCAGAAATTTGTAGGGTGAGCAGTATCATAACTATCTGTCTGTGCATTTACCTCAACATACGAATGCAATCGGAAAATCTGTAACTTGCGAATGATTTACTCAGAAAATACCCACTTTTAATCATCAGTAAATTTTAGAAATAAGGAACGAAAACAGGCAGTGCCATCTTTTAAATATCCATTGAAATTAAAACAGTTTATTCGGGTTGCTTGTGGTTTGTAGCCAGCACTCGTGAATTTGCAAGGTATTACTGTTTCACGAAACCTAAGTATAATGTCTATAAAGTTGTATGCACCTTCGCTTTGCTACGTCACAAGCGCCGATTTTGCTGTCTGTACTTTTACCAGTTATTAATTAACCGAGAAGTGCCGGGTCAAGATGCTTACTCTCTCGACCTTCGCTTGGGTTTGCCTCCCGACAGCCAGAGTCGATTGTGCACTTTTTCGGCATGTTTTTCGTAGTTTAGCTTAGCACCTACGTATCATGTCAGTTTTGTAATTTCTGCCTGACATCTTAATATATTTTAGCACCTTCATGTAAAGCAATCGCACTAGTGTATTTAATTGGGTAGATGGGAAACGAACCAAGCAGGGAATGTTTTTCCAAGGGTCGGTAGATATCATGCCGGGTGTGGGTCTTATTGTATGTCTCGCTTCTGAGAAGTAAAAGAACTGACCAAGCATGCAAAATGTACACAGGCAGTTTGTTACGTCTTTAATAAAATGGACCCCATGGCTACCTATCGCGGGAATGGCTGGGTGGAAGGGGCTGACCCTTCAAAATTTAAGTTTAAAGTAAAAGAGACAAGGGGTGAAAACCGCGTGCTCCCCTGCCTTGCAGTTTAGCGCCCTCTACTTTGACAGTTTGTCCATATACTGCTGTCGAATGCTCTNCCTCCTCCTTGGTAAGAATTATAACCCCGCCACCTGTAAATGCTGGATCCCTCACTGTTTATCATAATATAATTCTGCGCATGAAGGAATGAATGTTTATTTGAGTGTATGCTTACATTGATGGCTTTGCCGAAATGTGTTTAACCATCTTATAAATAAATTCACTAGTTTGATGATTTGCTTCCTGCTGCTACCTTAGTACGGTCAAACGTGTCATCTTTACACTGTTTAATAAGTGAGAAGGGACTGGCGTAAAGATTTCACATCGGTAGTTCGTGGCGCACTTCCCTCTCAAGGAACATAGATTCTAAAATCACAAGAATGATGTGCATGTGAGTGCAGACTAAAAAACCATGCAGTTCCAGAAAACACTCAGCCCCTCGCTTTTCATTTCTGTACATTTATGCCGCCCTCTGTGTTGTCGCTTGGTGTAGTTGCTTTAAGTGGACTGTACCTCAGACTTCATGCAAGTAGCATGCGGGGTGTGGAGACAGTATTTAGTTTATAGCAGTCCCAGTCGGTTGGTATTTTGGAAGGGAATCGTAAAAATGAATAATCATGTGAGGGATTTTCCCATGTTAAAGTTGAAAGCTGTTCAATGTAAAATAAAGTCTGTCGCCAATCATTCACCTCTCTGTTTCCAGGGATTTCCCAGACTGATTCCCTACAATAAGCAGTTGATTTATATCAAGCCAGCGGCTGCAAACTTTCTCTCTATATCCCGATTTGATGCAGCAACAGCGAGGGATTAGCGATTCATGTCGCTAATCCCTCCGCTTGGTTTTGGTGAATAGGATCACACATTGCTGACGTGGAATTTGAAACGAATGTCTCAAATTCAAACGAATAGTTCTTTTTTTTTTAACTTAAAAAACACTTTTTCTGATTGTGTGAAGCCTCAAATGATGACGTGTTTTTTAATACTTCCCATTGTCCCTCTTGGAGAAAAACGTATTTTGAACTTCGAGTTTGGAAACAAATTTCTTGCCCACTCTGCATTATGCATGTAAAGACCCTTCATGCAATTGTAATGTGGCATTCTAGTTTGTGTACTAGTTATGTTATTCTTTATTTACTTGGGGACCATTTGAACCAAGACTAAGATAAAATAACTAACATGCTAAACCTTTTCCCCTCTTAAACACAACTTTAAACACTATACATTTCTCTGGAGGTACGCAATGATTAGCCCAAAGAAGTCGAGTAAGGAAAAGGGAACAAACCTACTTCAGATAGTCATGACCAATTCATAATTTCCAGGTACACAAGCATACCTGCTCAGTGGGAAGTCAGGATAACTTCTTTGGACTATACCATCATTAAATTGTTGGTAAAGTATGGAACAGTGCAATGGGTGGTACGCTGTACATGACACTCTCATCGTCGGTGTACTTTGTGAGTCTACATACTACACGCTTAACTATGCACCAAGTTCGGAAAGCCATAAAACCGTTGTACGGCTTCACAGCTAAAGGAGCTTTCCAATGTCAACACACCCTTCATGGACCATACCAAGTGCAGTCATTTCCATTCTCATTGACTGCTGTTCTAACTGCACAAGCATGTTTACGCAAACCAGGCTTTAACAAGCCAAATAGGCCTATAATGTTTTTTATTTATATAGCACATGAACTTTGATAGTGAATATAGGTTGCGGAAATGAAATGAAAATTGAAGGTTTACCCTATGCCATAATTCAACGAATGTCGTTCCGCCGAGTGAATAGAGATTTTTTCACGTATGAGCACTTTTTCAGGCGGTTTTTGTCTCCTTATCTCGAAATCATGGCCTTCAAACGTGATTATTTCGAGAAGCCATTTTAATTTCAAAAGGTGTACTGCAAAGCCAAGGAATGTAACTTCCGCCTCGCTATTTGTTCAGACACAACATTGTGGTTTGCCAGTCGTCAAGCATTCTGACCTAGTGACAAATTCTATAAAAACGCTTTCCCAAGAGGACCCTGCAAAAGAGTTTCAGCTTTCAGCCAAACGCAAGTCTGGAGTCAAGTAAGTTCATCGTTTTTGGTAGACAGCCGGCCGTTTTGAGAAACCTTTGACGCACGTATAATTCAGCATTACAACTACCCGTCACAACGGGACTTCTTCCTCGGAAATAAATACATTGAGACTCCACAGGTATGTAGCCTACGCATTTTTAGTCGTTTTCTGCTTTCTTTCGAAGCAGCAGGATGGTATTCGTTGTGGTTCAATAATGGCAAATGCTCAATAATATCTTAAAATAGGCAACGAATCACTGGCATTCGGTTCAAAAGCTACGTTTCTGAGTATATTAGAGAGGTGCTGGCAAACGCAAACAAGAGACTTTTCGACATTCTCGATTGATGCCAATGAACTTAGAACTGTGTACAGTGGCTACATTAGAGCAAATCTTGAAAAAATATGCATACGTTTTTGACACTCTTGGCCAAGTAACAGTCTTATCAGAGGCCATTCAAAAAGCGCCTGTACAATCGTAATTTGGATTTGGAAGGAGGTTAGAGCACTGGTATAATTTTACTCAAGGGCTATCAACAAATTCCTGCACTTGTTCCCTTGTCCCACCAACTCGATTGGAAAGTCAAAGCAGGTGCCCTAGATCTAACAATAAAGATTTACCAGCTCCCAGCAAGAACCACCAAAAAAGTCCAGTTCCCCTTTCACTGACCTTTTCAAATAAGTGGGCGATTTCGATATTACAACTTTGAAAATTTCAAAAATTTCGTTTTTGTCACTTGTATTTTATGTGTTTTGTTCTTTTTAATGATTTAAATTTTCAGTTTATTTTAATTTCTGTTTGAGCCACACTTTTGATTTGGCTGCAGGGCCACGATTGTGTGAAATAAATGAACTTATACATGACATACAAGTCGTACGTACGAGCATGGAGGAAGGACACAGAAGGAGTTGTAACTCACGCACTTCAAAGCGTCCAATGATGGTCGCCGCCGCGTCTGACGAATAATAGAAAACATTCCAAAAATGCCTTATTGCTGCCTGCATCTTAGCTGGACAAGTGGGACCAGTAATACCCTGGCTTGTAGTTTTTTGCTTGCAATTAAATACAAACTATCGATGTGACCAGGAAATAGAGAGAGAAAAATTCCTGATATTAGACCTACTTTTGCCATCATAACTAAACTTTTTCAATTTTGACACACTGTTTCATTATCCATGCAAAGTTTGTAATTCTAGTCTCCTCCGTCCAATACATCAGTGTTCAAAGACTAGGTACGAATTTGTCTAAGACTGGCCATCAAAATATTCACTACTTCTAGAAAGCTCAGTTCATTAGAAACAAAATGCGCTATTTCATCACAGGGAGTGATCGTGAAATCTCATACAATACGCCTTTGTACAAATGCCATAATAAAAATTATTCAAACAAAACACAAACAGCTTGGCTATTTGTTCCAAAAAGAAGTCCAGAAGAAAGTGTTCGATAAGGGCAACAACTGCACATGAACACTTCGGGTACACAGCCTAGTAAAAGCAACTACGCAAGCACTAAATTTGATGTTGTTGTCGGATCATATCAAGCACCAACGATGGCATGAATATTCAACTTCCTATATTGCAGTACACAACGTTTTAGGAATGCAGATTACCAACGAAAAATTGCGGCGACGATCATAGGGTACAAAGAGGGCTTATGGTTGCGAAACAGGTCACATAACCATTCAGCTGTGGTAAGCCACTGAGAAGAAAGCCACTGAGTGCAAGTTTCAGGCATCGTTATCCTCCACCGTCTTATTCTTCATGTTTTGGGGTACATTTTAGTAAACAATATCAGTTTTAAAAAAGACAAATTTAAAACTGGAGGCTTTTGATGGTGTTCATAAAACGTTCCATATTAGGCTTGAAAAAACAAGTTACAACAGGAATACAGTATAAAGCCAGCACACACGAAGTGCCCGCCACAGGTCAATGTTGTTGCACAGTTTACCCTATTAACAAGTTGTCAATATTGAATCGGAAGCGAGGTTAATTTTTTTTTTTTTGAAACTCAAAACTAAAACTGAGAGAAATGAAATAAAAGCAGTGGATATTTTGCTGTCGCCTGCAAAAGTTCCAAAAAGATATTCTGCCTGAAGCCTTGTTCTGATTTGTCCATATTTATGATGTCACCGTTGCCCGCAATACCCGTCGATGCTTTTTAACTAGCCTGGTAATAACGACTCAAGAGGAGCTGGGTCATTCCATGAGGTTGGGGCACAATTTGTGACGGTGTCCTTGTTACATGGGTAACTTTTACCACCTGTCATGGCCTGTAGAGTAGGTCAGTTACTCTGTAAAAAATAACACAAACCTTTGTATTCAGCACTCCAAGATAACAATGTCAATTTGGAATCCCCATGCAGGGAAATAGCTCTTCATTTTTACGGAACCCATGTAATAATGGACACTGTCACAAATTGTGCCACAACCTCATGGAATGACCCAACTTTCCTTCAGAATATAAAGTCACTGACACTGGTGCCTGACTCAAAGTGTATTCTCAAGTCATCAAACTTGATCTTAGAGTCCCCTACAATGGCACACCAAAAGTTTGTGATGGAAAACTTCCAATTTCCTTAGATGGCGCAATTCAAAAAATTCAGAAAAACTTTTATTACATTTAAGAAGTTCTTCAAAATCAATAAATTTATACGAATCATTATTTTCGCTCACATAACAACTTCATGTCTGAGGACAAATTATTCCGTTTATTTTAGCGCACTGAAAAAGTTCATTTTGCACGAGAAAAAAATTAAAATTGGCCCGAAAATTTCATTGGAAACTCGAAAAAGAAACAGGAATTCAAGATTTGTGCACTGGAATTTTGGAGCCTGATCACATTTCACTTATAATGAAAATATTGCTTTTACTACAGGCGAAAAATAAGAGGGCCACGTTAGAGGCCGCGCCATGTTAGAATAGAATGTGCATCAAGGTGACGTCATAAATATGGACCAATCACCACAGCGTTAATGGCAGAATCTTGTTTTGGAACAGTTGCCAGCGAAAGGCAAAATATTTACTGCCTAAAATAAAATTTCATTAAAGATTAATTTCATTTACATGTACAATGAAAAAAGGAAAGGAGCCCTGAAAGTTAAAATGGTCTGGCACTTACTTCAATTGACAGAATCAGACAGGATACATTGAAGTAGATAGATTAAGGGAACATGATAAAAAAAAATGGCTCCCCCAACAAAGTCTATTGTGGATAGCTAAAAGTTCATCTCAGGGTTGAACTGGCCCCTGGGTGAAATAAACTCGGATAGTCAATAAGCTCAACCAAGGGGTTATTTTGAATACGCCCGATAAAATCCGGGGTTTCTGAAAACAGGATGATAGAATTCAAAGGGAACCCCCTTGGGCAAAAAAAAGTCTGACTAGCTGGCAGCACCATCACAAATAGTTTGCAAAAAATGAGGTGCTCAGGCACTCCAGAGTTCATGTTTAGTGTTATTAAGGCCCATTTGCAAAAGAATGAGCTTTGTATGTCGTCTCTCTTGTCCTTTCTGCGCAGGAAATGAATGTATGAAAAAATGTCTTAAAGTAAGAGCTGGCTTATAGCAGTCACGGAAGGTATTGTGCTTTGGGCTTACAAAATGCTACCTTTTTTGGTTGAAAGTTTTGCTATCTTTTGTTGTACAACCTATTTTGGAAAAGTTTCAGAATATTTTGAGAGGTACAGCTTATCGTCAACTTGAAAAACAGAGCTCAGCTCCAGCGCTTACTAGTGCTTTGAAATAAGTGCTGGTGAATGCCTTGCCAAGGCCCGGCAGGCTTCAAAAGAAACAAACGACATTATTCCCAACTATTTGTAGCGTGATCAGTGAAAGCAAGGTTGAAGCGACTGGATCATCTAGTTGACCATTTTGGAAACAAGGCAGGGGATAGGCTTATTTTCGTAGCGTATACCATTAGTCTCGAACTGATCTCATGAAGAGTAGACCTACTAATTTCTTTGGTAATTAGCTTTCAAAGAATCCATGCAGGTAGTTTTTGGTGATCGTTTGTTAAGTTGAACCCTTTTAATGTGAACTGAGATTGGAAGGGGTTTTGTTTTAACATCACGATGTGCCGTTCGCCAACTTCCCGAAACACGGCAATTTCCCAGATTTTCAGTTTCTCCAGGTTTACTACCAACTGTTACAGCTACTACCTGCATAAGCAAGTTCTCTTTGATCACGGGACATCATGAAATTGTTGATCTTTTATGTTGTGCCCATCGCCCAACTGGCTTGGTATTTACAGCAAGCACAGTTAAGTAGATTTGCTCATTTTTTTAAAAATTCTTTCCGTGTTGTAACCATGATTACTGCAAGTGTGAGATTATCTACTAAGGCCAAAAAAAGGTCTCCAGTTTCTGGTCAGCGCGCGCAAAATAAAGAAGTTTTTATTTGGTATAAAACGATGTCTTAAAGCTGCCAAACTTGTTTAATTAACTGGAATCCTAGTAATTTTAACGTGTTTTTGATAGGGTACGGTTGAGTAATATGCGCAGTAAAGGAGTCCCTGTAGATCCCCATACATTTTAGTTGGGCAATCTTTTTTCAGTATCTTTATTTCTGTATTATACATTTACATCTGGGAACCAGACAAGCGAGGTGGTCTTATCTCTTGTGTATATGTACAAGCTCAAAATGCTTTAAAACAGTAAAAGTGCGGTGGGCAGTCTATTTTAGTGTTGGTAGCGGCCGGAGTTACGTGCAGATGCAGTCGCGATGGACATCGCGCGTTATCGTACAGCAGTTCTATAAAAAAAGTGAGGGGGAAAAAGTCGCTTCGCTGCACCACTTTTGAAGCCAACTCCTGACCAGAAACCGCAGACCTTTTAAAGCCTGACAAACCGTTTCGCAATGCGGTCTCCTGACCCCGAAATTTGAGCTGCAGAAATTTCGGTCCTTTATTTCTGATTTAGCTTCATGACGGCCAAGTATTAATTAAAGCAAGTACAGTGGCTAAGCAATGGAAGTGGGCAACATTGTGGATGCAAAGTGTGCACATTAAGTCAAACGTTCTTAGAATGGTCTAACTTTCGTTTTACCTAATGTATAATCGATAACTAAATTGGCAAGTGTTTGACTCTTTTATGCGTTTATTTTGAATTAGCTGCACCACCTGCTCATACAGTTGCCTTCAACGTTACACAACGGGCTGTTGGTTTTGGTCTAGATGTTCCATGTACAGGTGAGTTTTGGAGAGCCTGAAGTGAGTGTTGGAAGAGGGTTTTTATATGCAACAACCCCCCTTCGGTCGTGGATGCGCGCGCAGCGTATTTGTGTTGGCGCCGGTCGTCACCCGCAGCCTCAGACAGCATTCGAATTTTTTTTTCCAAGCTACAATCCTGGATAAAGTTGTCTGGACAGGTGTCAGTAGCCATAGCTTTTGCAAGACCCCCACTCCCTTGTTGTTATCTCTAGCTGGAGCGTAGACCGCGCATGGAAAATTGAGAGGTAGGCCGCCGGCCAGTTGCCCGGGATTGTCTGAATTGGTTCGTAGTTGTGCACATAAGATGTCATTTTGTGTGTGCTTTCTTTCTATGTTCTGTTGAATAGAAGGTAAATTTTGGATAAATTGTACAAGTAAGAGAAAAGGGCAGATTAACATCAATTTTGCATTATTGTATGTGCACAATCACGAATCTTTTCCAGGAGTTTGTCGTATCTGATGCACCATGGCATTTCGGCCCATAACTGTCCAAAATTGATGCGTTTCTGGATTTGAAAGGCCCATTCTGGGACAGAAACAACTTTTCTTCTTGCTTCGTCATTCCGTTGTTGGCTCGAAAAAGGAAACGTTGATCTATCAAAAAACCCAAAAGAAAAGATGTGAGAGACTCAAATTCTTCAATGATGTGTTGTGGCTCATCGTTGTCACTGTGCTATGTATATCGCGCGCAATCGCTCCCTTTGTGAGGACATGCTACGTGCTCTGTTCGGCGAAGGCAAAACAAATGCAATCATTACACTTTTGTCTTTGTGCAGCGTAGATAATTCCTAAACATTTTATGCACTATTAGCTCAGGGTCCCTAACACTCTCAAGGCTTGTTGCCACTTTGAGTTGACAAAGTTGAGTTCTGGAGTCCTTATTCTATCGTCCTATCGACGATATCCAGGAATGTAAAGTTGTCAGGCCCTCCCCGCATACACATAATAGGCACGTATAAACTCAGACATGTAGGTCCAGTCTTCCTCAGCTTTTTTATCTTACTCCTCGAGTTGTGACCAGTGGTGTATATGTCTGTACGTGTGCAGGGTGGTAATGCCTTCTCTAAATGCGTGCTCTTTCATTTCCCCAAGTAAAAAAACAGCACCAACAACATATTAGGCATCTTGTCTCCCCCCTCCCACCCCCGTCCCCGCTGGATACACTGACGATTTTGACGTTCCACTGTGGTCTACTAACCAATGTTGTGGTACTCGAAACTGGTCTTGGTCTCGAGACCAGTCTCGAGACCAATTTGAAGGTGGTCTTGGTCTCGAACATGCTGGTCTTGGTCTCGGATCACTGGTCTCGGTCTTGGTCTTGATCTCGTGCCTCCTATTGTCGGAATTCCGTGCTAGCGTTTTTGGCACAACGTATGCCGTCGCGTGCCTTTGCCTTGGTGGTGCGTAAGTCGTTGATGTCATGATTACCAGAAAGTCTTTTCCGGCTATCATGTCTGGCAATTCGGCAATCATACATTATGCATTCACCACCACAAGGAATAAAATGTCAAAACGGGAAGCAAAACAGATGTCGCTGTGTGTGTTTTTGAACGAAAACCCAGCATCAGCGATAAGGAAGAAACACAAAGTCTGCCTTCATTGAACACGTGCGCTGCCATCACCCCGTGGAGTACGTACATGTACGTGTGCCAGGCTACTTCTAGGAATGATCTTTCAGTCCTCATGGCATGTTTTTAAAATTTTTAAAGAATCTAAATTTGAGGCTTAAATGTTTAAACAATCAAAACTGTTTCGTTGTTGTTGTTTGTTTTGTTTTTTGGGGGGATTGTTTGTTTTTTAGGTTTGGAATGTGGTGCCATATTTGCATTGCAGTCCCTAGTTTGAAATGAAAATAGGCCTAAATTAGTTTAATTTAATCATTTTAAAATGAATTGAGCTAATATGCATAAATCATGAAGTGCCGTTATTTTTTGTTCTTAATTTTTATTTAGGCCCCATTATTTTTATACTTGGTGCATGGAAATGTTTTTCCTACTTTAAGATATTTTTGTTTTTCAAACTCACCTACTTGCCCAAAGTCCATGTAAATCCTCGGCCTGTCTCCTTGTGAACCTTGTCATAACATTTAACACAAATTCATTATATGCATGTGCTGCCTGCCATACCGGGCAAAAATTGAAACTCTCAAGTGTTTATGAATGAGAAGTAAAAGCAGTTGGAAAGGAAATCTTATTTTAATTTTATTGTAGCTTCAGGTTACATTGATTGCATGCAAAGTGCATCTCGCGACATTCAGAACAGGTCAAAAAGTAAACACATCATTGAAGAATTCAAACTGCAAAGTAACAACAAAAACAATGCTAAATTCCGGGGAAATTCTGTCTTACTAACGCATGCATATCGTTCTGTAGTTTATGGCCCATCTTCACAATTTTATGTCAATGTACAGAGATGATTTCTATCCATTTATTTACGAATGTGGTCTTGGCCTTGGTCTCAGACGGCTGGTCTCGGTCTTGGTCTCGGTCTCGGGTTTCTGTTTCTGGCCTGGTCTTGGTCTTGGTCTCGGACTGCCTGGTCTTGACTACAGCACTGCTACTAACCCAGGGCCCGTTCTCGGCTATTTCCCAGCCCGCCGTTGCTGACCTAGTCTTGGTTCCAAGATCTTCGGGTAGTTACATGAACGACACACGTATAGTACACTGTTAGAGGGCACTATCACCTCACGAATCGTTATCGCAGGAAGGTCTTTGATATTTTGTTTTCATATCTTATGTTTTTCATTACTTTCCCTCGACTTTCCAAGGGAGCCAATCAACAGCTTCGTTTGAGCCTTGTATTGAAATTATTCGCATAAGTTCATGACGTCACTCAATTAAGAATTGTGAACAAAAATGGCGTCCCGATCTCGAGGTCAGAAATTTTCCGCAGAAAATGCCATCTTTTAAAACAACTTTCCATATTCTGCTTTTCGTTGAAAATTTACCCTATAAATTTGCAGGTTTGAAGGAAAATAGACCAAAATCGCAGTGCTAAAACGAGCAGGGACATCATACATCGTGACCGTACCGTGGTGCGACATGGCAAAAATTGAAAATGCCTCAATTTCTTTGGTTATATGCGCTCATGGCAACTTTTTGGATGCTGCCCCGGGCTATAGAAGGATATTTGATGAATGCTTAGCTATGAGCATCTGTAAAAATATGTTCACTCTGACATTGGCCGATGCTTAAATAAGAAAACATATTTTTTAAACATGAAGCATGTTAAGTCATTTACGTAACTCCCGCCGACCATAAGCCACGTGATGTGAAGAACGGATATCCAACATTCATTGCCATCTGTTGCAGCCCAAGACCTTGCAAAATATCCAAGACCTTCCTGTGATAACGATTCATGAGGTGATAGCGCCCAATACATATACATGTACATTCATGTATGTACAGTACGTATGATGGTTTGTGTCGTGGAACAACGGTCTTGGAACAAGACTATCGACCTACAATCTGGCCACACGCATCTCTGCACTCCAATGGCTGAATAAAAAGTCGAATTCATTTGGCCTGCGATATCTCGTAGTCTGTGTCAGAATTTCCAGCACTTTCTGTCAAACGTGAAAGAAGCACAAGCGTGTATACAGGGTGTAAGTGTCACCTTTCTTTGTCATCAGATCCAGTACTTGTTACCGGTGCTGCCAAGGTTGGTCAGGAAGCACCGCCAGTGGCTGCTCAACGCGTAAGTCATATTTCAGCCATTGTCGAGGAAGTGTCTTCCAGTCATAGACCCACTGGTCAACTGTACAAACTGGCCCTCGGTACAAAAAGTGAAAGAATAATTCACATGTCCCTCGCAGCCATCAAAACACCAGATGATAATACGTGTACTACTAAATACTAAATGAAGATACAATGTGGAAAATCTCTGACGTTAAAAACAACACGTTTTGGTGTTATCAGGTGACCACACCCAAATGTGTGACTGTAACACGGCTGGTGTTACTTCATACACCTACAAGTGTTACGATGTACTGGGTCTTAAAACTAACACTGGCGAAAAGTGTTGAGATGTTCCTCTGGTAACACTGGGTTTTGTTGCAGTGAACCCTTTTTCAAAATCAATGGGACAAAATGTCTCTCTTTCAATGAGACAAAAAGTAAAACTGAAAACCAACCGAAAGATGATATTTCTACAAACTTTGGCCAAACATAGAAGTTGTAGGCCAAACGAGAGTGATCTATACCTTTTTGGACAAAAGGGTTCATGGAAAGAACCATTCTCATGTGATTCCGTTTCTGTGTTCTGCCAAACAGCCATTTGCTCTCCATCCTGCACCAACGGAGGGCGCTGCACGGCACCAGACTACTGCAGCAATTGCAACCGAGGGTTTTATTCCCCGCATTGTAGCAGTTAAGAAAATCGATATCATTCTGAACGCAATGCCACTTTGTTATAAAGAAGTTGGTCTTACTTTGTAGAAACAATTTGGAGCCAACGTGGGTTTCTAACTTCAAGAGTATGTCGTTTTGCTTTGTTCTTTACGTAAGGTACATTGGGTACAGTCTTGTCTTTATGTTTCTTTGCAAAGCAGTGACAGGTATGCTAGTTCAACTACGGTAAAAGCAGACAGTTTTAGATTTAGCACTTACATTTTCTAAAAGCAAAACGAAATTTGTCAGCATGCTTTGGAGGTTAACGGGTAAAACGTTTTTCCTCATTTTCAAATTTATTGTACCGCAAACAGAAGTTTATAAAGTAGCTCAGCCGGGAGTAAGTGTGCCCTTGTGGATTGTTTGCCCCCGGTTGTAAAACGTATACACACAGTGTGGCATCATTTTTTCGCTTGCCTAAATCCGAAAGAAAACAGAAAATAAATAATTCCACTTGAAAGATTCCTGGCTTACTGTGTTTGCCCCTAGGGTGTTCTGCTATTTCCAACTGTCTGGACGTGTACTGCAACTCCGCAACCGACCAAAGATGCGGTGCATGTGATGGAGACTATGGCACCCAATTCGGCTCAGCCTACAAGTTGTCAGCGGACCAACGACGCTGCATAAGTGAGTTGGCACCAAGCAAAGCACTGCTTTGTGCGTCACAGTTCTGTATCTGACAAATATAAAACTGTGAACTACAGTGTTGAAACTACTGCGCTTTAGCAAAGAATGTAATTGTAAATCACAATTAAGATTTGAACGTACGCCAGACTGGTTTTCCGTATAAGTTTGAAATTATGCCAATCATTGTAAAACCTGCAGTGACAATTGGTCATTGTGAGCCAACGTCCCCCATTATGTGCCAATTAACTTGAGTTGGTTCAACATCATGCCCAGAACTGCGTGTCTTTGTAAATGGGGGATATGCCATTGCAAATGGATAACGGCTCTGTAATATTTAGGCCATCTTTACGTGACATGTCTTGGCCAAGTAATGTTTGCACCTTCGTGTTACTATCAACATTTCTGTCCTTCAGTTTTGTCTCGTGCCTCCCAAAATTGACGGTGCATGATTCCGCGCATTCTGAAGCAGTGGCATATCAAGCGGGGAGGAGCTGCTCCCAAGACCTGTTTGCCGGTTTATTTAATGGAAAGGGCCAGTATTAATTACAAGTGGTACTACCATTTGGGGGGGGGGAATGATGATTCCTTTTTAAAATTATATCAGATAAAAATTCCTTGGTGGAGACTCATTTTCAGAAATAAATAACCAGCTTCAACCAATGACAATCTTCTTTTCCTTGTTTTATGACTTGCGTGTAAAGCAAGATTATAGACCTGTGCCTGCATATAAATTGCTACTTAAACGTGTGCTGGTGCGCATGACACAGGGGCATGCCTCAGAGGCATGTCCAAGTCAATATAAGTCTAAATTTTGAGGCTGAATTTCACGTGCAGAAGCTTACTTAGGGGCAATATCCTTGCTGTGGTGATGTTGCTGTGTCACATGGTGATCTCCTTCGCTTCAGAGCAATGTTCATGGAGAACTAACAGCAACGCCTGCTATCCCGGATCCTGTACAAACGGCCTGTGTACCTGTAAGAGTGGATTCTCGGGAACTGACTGCAGAACTCGTGAGTAAATGATTACTGATAACTGATTTTAGTGGCCAAACAAGGTCTGCCAAATTTCACATTAATTTCTTTTCTGTTCTCCCTGACAATCATAACCTGGACGGTGCTACTTAAACCTCCAAAAACAAGTGGCTACGAGTCAGAGACCGACCACATCCGAGTACCGCGGAAGCCTCATAAAGGGGACAACAACGGTGGAATCGCCCGCCGTGCAGGGGAGCACGACCACGGTATACACCGACGTCACCAACTTCACGTCCATCCGGGTTCTGTGGACAACCTCGTACCAACCGACTGGGCTGCCGGAATTGCCTCTGTACATCCAACGCGTTAACCTAGGCATTGTCTCTGCGAGGGTTACGGTGTATGCACACCGTAAGTATTTACTTCTTACTCGCTCATGGATTGCCTTCGCCCTAAAAACAGCCGTATTTCACTCTTTAGAAGCGACATCGTTCTTCCCTAAAAACATATTCTTTCCCGCTAGTCTGCAGTTTTTTTTGTGTTTTTTTGGTGTGGTTTTTTTTTTTTTTTTTTTTTAGTTTTGTTTTTTTAACCCGTTGTATAATCTATCAATGTTTATGACTCCGATTCTCCTCCTAAACTGACTACAGTGGCTCGAGGTCAATTATTGCACATCGGCTCCCGTAGTTGCTCGTCCGCCGGCTCGCCCAGTAACCCTGCCTCAAACCTTGTCGTCTGTGAGGCCAACTTCGACATCGACTACAGCTCGTGGTCTCCAAGCACAGGCGACGTGTGCGTATACTTTTCACATTAAAATTTTCCAAAAATGGTTATTCGAGACTTTAAATAACTCAGATCAAATTCGTGGGTTTCGGACAAAGAGGGTCAAAAAGACAGCTTTGACATGTCGAGGGTAACATTGTTAACATTGTTGGCTGGCGTGAGGGGGGAATGGCGTATAAAAAATGGCCATATATCGGGCATATCAGTCTGAAATTGAATTCCAGATGCTGAAATGAACACCCTAAGATGTGACAGTTATATAAGAACGTCTTGAAAAGAGTGCCTTGGTGTGCAAGTGGTACAGGAATGGTCAATTTGTTATTTCTGCCAAGTGGCAGATCTTCCTTTCAAAGTTGAAACTCGTTTGAATCACTTCCCAAGTGGTGAGGCTGCTTTGTAGAATGAGGTAAGACATCGCTTGTCACTGAAAGTTAGTGTAGTATGGTCATAAGCCAGGTGCTCATCACGCCGATAAATGTAGCTTGAAATCAATTTAGTGCAGTACATAACATGGCGCACCAGAAACCCAGCATCGGTAAGAAACATCGTAGAGTATTTACACTTCACTCATCAATATCCACAAGCAGCAAGGAGACTAAAATATTAATGTGACGAGATTTATCGAAGCATACAGGTAGTTATGAAAGTGTCGTAAACAGGTGCAGTTAATATCAAGGAAATAAACATGTGCTTGGCTGGCCTTAATCGTGCGTTTAAGACCGGCTCAGGAGAATGGACGCCACTAATGCCCGAGCTGCATTTATAAATACCGTTTTAGTCAGAGAGTCAAAAGAAGGCAATGTACAACAAATTTCCAAGGATTTTGTTTTAGAATTTTACTTTCCTTTTCCCGAACACCCCCGTCCATTTATGATGTATTCCTTGTGTAGGTAGACCACAAGAGTCTCCTTATATGGACTTGAACGTGCGTGGCGTGATCTGCGTGCCACGGCACACACAGACTCTTGACCAGTAGGAATGGATTAAACTCTCTCGGATTTAGGTGCCAGCACGTTTTACGCGGGTCTTATCAGATCTAAGCGGGCATTATCAAATGTTACGTTGCGCGTTGTTGAACAGGGAAAGCGTCTGAGGTATTTATGAATGCATATTTCAGTTTGAGATATACCGTGTACTCCTCGAGCGGCGGACACATGAAGCTTTTCAACAGAGACAGCAACTCCAATATCCTCACACGGTACTACAGCAGCAGGCAAACATCGGCGACGGCAACGTTCACCTTTGCCTTGGACGGGCCGTCCCATTGTGTGGGCACCACGTCATGTCGAAACTCAATGCTGTCCGTGGAGAGCAATGTAGTGACTGAGGTATAATTATTTACGGCAGGCCAAGGCGCCTTAGGCGTACTTTGCTTAGTTATTAAGTATAGCTGAAAACAGACAACGAATGTATTTATTGCTGGTACCAAAATGTTAAGTCAGTCAGAAGTTTAATATTTACGCCATAAGCTATCACGATAAACAGCACAACTGGCAAAGGCATTTTGTCGCTATCTGTCTCTAGTGAATCGCAAAATAATACAAATCAACTTTCATTGTGTTCTTATTTCAATTGGCTTTATTATAGATATTTTTCATCTTCATGTTAATATTCGGTAATCTGCTGTTGATAGTCATATGTATTATATACGGTCTTTGTGGTATGATCTGCCTATATGGCTTACTGGTAAGGTTTATTTTACGTATTTGTAAAGCTAACAGTCGTTGCCTACAGAACTGCTCACTGCGTTCATCTCTGTCTCACGATTACCTTAAAAGCCCAATATAACAATCACGTGGGATGACTGGACTGACAGCCACGCTGGTATCAAGGAATACAACCTAGAAGTGCGACACCTGTCGGGTACCAGTGGTGACGAGATGACCGAAATATTGGTCAATCCCCCGGTTTACGGGGGCGTGTCTGAGAGTGGACAGATGGTCACCCTTCCAAGTGCCGGTATGAAAAAGGCCCGTAGATTGTACCAAAAGCTTAGCAATTAAGACTACACGTCCCTGAAATTATGATCTACTTTTGAAATTTCAGACGAAGGCTACATCACCTTATGTGATATTTCCCTGTGATAACATGGCCTGAACAGGTTGATCCTGTGAGCAGTGCACATAACATAACTGAATTTTGTGGCAAGACTGTTCAACCCCTTTTACGTTTACTCGTGTTTATGTTCATTTCAAAAAGGCTCGGAAGAAAATGTTATGCTGTTTGGGCTTAGGACTCAAATAAGCATTGTGTTCACGCATGTTGTCAGACTGACGAGTGAACAGGCTTTAAATACAGCCAAATCGTATGTCAGAATGGTCAGTGAAATCCTACCCGTGTAGTTTCATTAACATAAGATGTTATGGTTTCTATGTCACTTTCTACTTCATCCTTTTAATATCGGTCAATTGTAATTCTTAGCCCCTTTGGAACATAGTATAGTTGGGCACTGCCATAAGTGATGGTCCAATCGCCAGCTGTAAGATATTCAGTAGCACTGATTACACTTTGCGACTGTGGCTCATACACAATACCTCCCCCAGGTGTATATTCCGTTGTACTCTCCGTGGTCGACAACGTGGCCAACGTTCGGCGCAGCCGGCGTTTTGTGTTTTTCGATGATGACCAGAACGACGTTGTCGTCGAGCCCGTCTCCTCTATGCGCCTCCTGTCCGCTGACGGAGTGACAGAATACAAATGGCTGACTGTGTCCGATTGGGCGCCTTCGCAGGCCCCCTTGGTACGGCTCGACTGGCAGGGTCACTTTGTCAACTCAAAGCATGTCAGCCAAGGCCTTCTCAAGCCCATAGGTCCGTATACCAACGGTACAATAGACGCTGGTGAGTACAGACTTCAGGTATTTTCATGGGCGTAAATCCCTGGGGGTGGTTGTATATATCCCCCACTTTTTAGATGGGGATGGGCTATTTAATCATCCATATACACACTTTTTTGAGTGTGAACAAAAAGCGTAGCGGATTTTGAAGAATTTTCAGACTTCCAATGACTGCATTCAATATCAATCAAAAAGGGGGGATTATAAAAATCCGTAAATATGCCATTCTGACAACATATTACAGATGCATTTCAATATCATGGACATTGACCTCTATGTAGTCCTATGGCGTCATCCCCTATACCGCTTTTTACATTTTCTTGGCAGGGTAAATCATCTCCCACCCACCTTTCCCCATCCCCCCCCCATTTCCCACACAAATTGACGCCAATGGATATCATTTCCAGAGGTTTGGCAACTGTAGCAAAAAACACACGAGTGTCCGGGCACTGGGTACTTTATTGGTAAATTTCTTGCTGGCAGATTATGACCAGTACTTTGGTCAGCGTGGCCGTGAAGCCATCCCCAACGCCGGAGGAGTGACGGAGTTCCGTGTATTGTTCGACATCGACCAGACCAGCGGTACTACCATTGTCGAACCGAGTATTGACAACTCTGATACCTGGCTTAATGTGGGCACAGACACAAACCTGATCTATACCAATCAGACATCTGTACGAGATGGCGATTCCATTCGGTTTTGGGTGGAAGCAAGGGACCTTGCCGGCCACTTTTCGAGAGACAACTTGCTGATCCACGTCGATTCATCCCCACCGGTTATCGAAGACGTAGGGCTGGTGGTCGACCTCAACAGCGTAAGGTATAAACGCACAGGTGCTCGAACTGCTTTCCGTATGGTTAAACTAAACACTTCTGCTGCTTTTATCATGAGACAGGCCAAACAAGACTCCTCTTTCACCTCACTGTGGTGCTCAGGTACGAAAGCCCATAGTTAATAATAGCATACGGTGGCACAGTGATATACTTATTTGTCGAAAAATTTGCTTAGTCGGTTTTTTGTTTGTCGAAATTTTGACATAGATGTTGGGCTTTTCGATGTTGGGCTTTTCGATGTTAAGGTTTTGTGTAAGGGATGGATCATTAATGTCAAACTAGAATGTCTTTCTATGAATATTCACAGCGTCAAATTTCGGACCTTTGACAAACACAGCGGTCTGCTCGCTGTCGAATGGCGACTTTTTGAGAACCAAACCAGTACGGTCTCAAGTTTTGGCAATGAAACGGTGACTATTGTCAACATGACTGAGGTAAGAGGAAAATCGTCTTTTGGACATTTCTTCTCAAAATATATTCAAGCCATCACAGACGTATTAAGACCTGATGATTTCCACTTGCCAGAATTATAGCACATCTAACCAGGAATTAAAATAAAATGCAATGTTACCAGAGCTCACCGGACAGACCATTAAAAAAATACACAAAACCACACAACAAAACATGTTTTAATCCAGCGGCTCTAAAAGGTTTCGTTAAGGCTCGATTGTTGAGTTTGGGATAGGATGAGGATAGGCATTAGGGTTAACCTGTGAGGTCAAGGGTTACCATTAGTATTACAGTGTATTATAACTGTTTGTTTCGAATTTTGTTTTACCTCATTATTTTTTCGGTTTCGTTTTATCAGAATAATGCCTCGTGCAGCACCACAGACTGCGTGTGTACCCCCCTTGGCGATTGTTACGCCACGGCGTACCGGTTCATGCCAACAGTTCCTTCCATTGTTCACGACCTAAATTTCGTCATCAAACTAACCGTCACAAACCAGGCAGGACTTGTAACAAACGAGACGGTAAAGGTGTGTTTGGACAAACACAAGGAGCATTGAGTTCATGCTATAAGACACTTTTATCTGGATACCATGCAACCTTACAGCGGAAGTACTACTAGCCTGCATGTATGTTGAGTCTTACGTGTTACCTGGGAACGTTGTAGTATTTCCCACAATCTCTTAGACACTATTTACAATTAAAAAGGTTACCGGTATTCTACAATGTCCATGAACAACACAACTCGAGGTTAAACCTTTCACGCTCCCAACGCACATATGCAACATCCTTTAGGAGAATATGATCATTTTATCAAAAGTCCTCTTTCTATTTTCCACGTTGAAGTGTAGAAGAAAGTTTTAAACGCCAATGCCTGGTCGCTAGTAGGCTGTTAGCGAATGTGCAGTCGACCCATATTATATTGTATCAAAGTTTGTGCTGTTGAAACCTTTTTCTCTCATTCCTAGTTATCAGTTACAGCAGAGAATGTAAAAAAGTATTCCGAGTCGCTTGTGTCCATCACCAACGACACTTCTTCAATTGACGAAAATTCTGTGCTCTCCGCGGCAGATTTACTGGACAGCATCGTCGGCGTTCAAGACACCTCTCCAGAGGTAAGTCTGTCAGTAATGTCTGGACGTCGCTGTCAGTGACTTCTGGGACGAAGGTTTAATTAAAAGAGAACCCCGGTTTTAAAGATGTTAGTTTGGTGGAACGGATATCAATATATTTTAGAAAAGTTCTGTTCCATTTTCTCTTTTGTTAGGTAACGGAAAATGTTGTAAAGACAGTCAACAACCTGCTTCAGGTAGACGAAGGCCGGCTTGGCACAGCAGACGAGGTCGCCAACTCCTCGTCTCGCATCGTCAAGTCTCTTGGCCGGCAAATTTCCAACGCTCTCGCGGCTGGCCAGAACGTCAGCCTGGTGACCAGTAACCTCGCTGTCGAAGCGAGGACCTTTCGGCCCAGCACCCTGGAGCGCGGCGTGGGGTTTGCAGCCGTTAAAGGGGAGAACGGGACCAGCTACTTTGACGAAGACGCAGTGAATGTCTACGAGTCTGGGCAAGAGGTTCCTGTGGCAGAAGCTGCAGTATCAATTCAGCTTCCAGCAGATATAGTCAACAAATCTTCTGAGGGTAAAGCGCTACCTTGTAAATGCTTGTCTTTGCTGCAAGAGACTCTTACATTCTTCAAATGATATATCAAAGGCTCTTACTTTTTCTGCACTCAATACAATCTTGACCTTTTTTTCAATACATCATTATTCAAGAAGCACGTTAACGCTTAGAAAGTTGCTTCTGAAATTATTCCCTAATGTGCTTCTGAAACTGTAGGCTACCTGTGGATCGTTCCTGCCAACACGTCCTTTTTGTTTATTCTCTGAGAGTCCACGTTTGCTCTCTAATTTGACATGTACATACAATTTAAAGATGTTTTAAGTTACGTAACTCAGGAATTACCTTCAATTTATTCTTTCGCTGTAAAACCAGATGACTCCATCCCCGTGAGTTTTGTCGTGTACCAGAGCAGCAAGCTATTTCGTTCGGGGCGTACCAGCAACTCGTCATCCACTCTCCCGGCTAGTTTCATTGAGAGTCGAGTCATCGCTGCTAATGTAGAAGGGAGGCGAATCACCAATCTTCCACCAGACGCACCTGTGGTCATTGCTTTCCTCCAAGACAAGGTGGGATGTTACGGAAATACGTAAAGGCCAAAGAATGAACTCAATGGTGTTGTTTGTAGGGGGAAAGTGAAGAAGGATAGACCTATACGAAATGGGCGACTGAAGCATGACCTATACATTAATTTTCCATTTTCTTGTCCGAAAGCTAATGAGCATTCCCGATCGCCAGACCACTGAGTGTGTGTTCTGGGACTTCGACCTCCGCGCCGGCATCGGGGAGTGGTCGTCGGAAGGCTGCCGAGAGAGCTCCCCGGTCGGTGGAAGAACTGTCTGTCACTGCAGTCACGCGACTAACTTTGCTGTGCTCGTGGTAAGGTTCACTTGTCAACTGGTAAAAAAACTCCGCGTTATGCTTTTCTTGTGCTGTCTTCTGGAAATATTATGTTGAATTTCTTTTTGATTTCTTTTGAATTCTGTCAGAATTCTTCCACACCACTAAAATGAACTCGTAAGAATCCGAAATTAAATTAAATACGAGGTGTTCTTTCAATATGTAACCACGAGCGAAGCATGTGCGTAAAATCGTGTCCGTGTTCCTTATTTAAACATTTTTGTGGTCAATTGATCTCAACTCAGAACATTCATGGTCCCAAACATACCAGCTTCGCCTTAGACGTTTTCAGCAAGATCGGCTCAAGTCTATCCATTGCAGGCCTCAGCATCACCATTGCACTGTACCTCGCCATAAGGTAAAAAGGCTTGGCCACTGCTTACGAAATTCTGTCAAATGAAAAGTAGTCATGGGTATGAGGAGACGCTGACGGGGAGTGATAACGTGTCTCGCCCAGGACATATGCATCATGCCGAACTCACAGGCTGAATTCGAGCCACTTCATAAAGGTTATTTGCAGTCACTGACTTGTCTCTGACAGATCCCTGAGAACCTTGAAAGCCAGCCGCATCCTCATCAGTTTCTGCTGCTCCTTGCTCCTCCTCTACCTGGTCTTCCTGGCCGGCATCGAGCAGACGTCTTCCCGCAGCGGCTGCATCGCCGCTGCCGTCTTGATGCACTACTTCGCCCTGACCTCCATGGCCTGGATGGGTGTGGAGGCCGCCAACCTATATCTGAAGCTGGTCAAGGTCTTCAATTCTGATGTGTCGCATTTCTTCATCAAGGCGTCTCTCGTCGCCTGGGGTAGGTGACGACATCAAAACCTTGCCTGGCTGATCGAAATGGAATCCCAAAGACAAGCTGCGATGCAAGCGATAATAATCCCTCACTTCAGCTTCATGAATAATGTCTTTCTGATTTCTTGAATGCTGAGCAGATCCATTAACTTAGATTGTTCGTTGCATATACCACAGGATTACCAGCTGTCGTCATCGTTATCATACTTGCGGTGGACTACAGAGTGTACGATAGCGAAGACAGGTTTGTATACAAGTACTTACAAGTTTCCACAAAGGGGTCCGCAATAATTTCTGTCCCTAACAGTCGTCAAATGATTTCCATTGAGTTTACAAGAAAAATTAACTCGAATTTAATTTGCTTGTTTATAACAAGAAACTTTGATATGGATGCATCGGGCAAGGTAGACTGTCATCCTGTCGGTAGATTAATAAGCTGTCTTGTCAGACTCACTTCTCTAGTTCTTTTGTAGACCCTCCAAAAATAGGAAAGCGTCAGTTGACAAGTTTCTGTTTCAGTGCAACCGTACTGCACTTTGTTCACGAGTAAACCCTTCCTCAGGGGCCAATAAAAGGATTTGGCGGGCCGCCTTGTTTCCGTGGGACATGCACATCAATGAAACAGACAGTGCATGCGTCAATTTTAGCGAAGTGCAAATGTCAACCAGCGACGACAACTTTAAAGAGCCTATCGTTGAAGTCTTGCATTGCACACTCTTTTGTAAACATGCACGCAGCTCGCATAGTGTGAAGAAAATTTTGGGATCTCCTCTAATGCTGATGTTCATTGTCATTCTTATCAGATGTTTTCTGAAGCCCGGTACCGCTTTCTACGTTGGCCAGCTTTTAATAATTGGCCTCGTCTTCCTTTTCAACCTCGTCGTCTTTGCACTCGTTTTTCGAAAGTTGACATGTGTCGCCGGCCGCGTCAAGGGCTCGCCAGGCGAAAGCAACCGAGACATGGTCGCCAGACGCTTGAAGGCAATGGTCTCGGTCGCAGTGCTGCTGGGGTTGACCTGGGTCTTCGGTCTGCTCTCCGTCTGGGGCACCGTCAGTTTTGCGTTTCAGGTCCTGTTCTGCATCTGTAATTCCCTGCAGGGCCTCTTCGTCTTCCTGCTCTTCGTCGTGCGGCAGGAGAAGGTTTCGGAAGGCTTGGGCAACCTGAGGCGTGGCTGGCGAGAGAGGCCGTTGGATAGGTCTACGGCCAACAGCAGGCTGACGGCCAGCAAGACATCGGTCATCATCACAAAATGGTCCAGAAAAAATGATTCTGTCAATTCTGACGGGCACGAGAACATAGCAGTGGCAACCTTCGAGGATGCCGCCCATCCGCAGCTAACACCACCATCAGGTCAAGGACATACTGAGGCTGCTCCGGGCCACAACAAAACTGACACGCCGACAACCAAGGAAGGATCCGACGCACCTGCTAACTAAAGCTACCCATGCCCCAATACGAAGCCACGATTGGTCAACTTGATCTGGGGATGTGACTCTACTGATGTAGCACCTTCGCCTCGTGCGCTGGCCGTTGGGGCGAGACCTAAAGATACTACAATACCGATGGTAAAGGCTGTAAACAAATGCCCCCCCCCACTATACTCTCAAGATTATGGCGATAAAGCATATAAAAACGGAGATTAAATGATGAAGCAGCTCATTATATTCTCACTGTGAGATATTGTTTTGTACCAAGCTCTCCCTTATTTTAACCCCTAACAACGTAAAGTAGGCCTATTACGAGCATTCCTTTCATTTAAAAAAGTCCAGGCTTTTTTTTTTCTTTTTGAAAGTGCATCCACGGAGGTAAAAGAATCTGGCCCTGAACTGGGACTAGTTTGTTTACCCTCTCTTGAAAGTTAGACTCCCAATGAGGAGTGTCACCTGGCAGAAACGTTTGATATTTTGTCTAATTATCGTTCCCTTCTAAAAAGCCATATGCTAAACGGTAGACTCTGCTCACAGGAAGGATTTTCACGTTCAACTAATCAAAAGCTACTCTAGCATGCCAGCATGCTCTACTATGAAGTAAAGAGAATCCATAAGCCCCCTCCCATCCCCCTTAATAAAGAACAACTATGCTGCTGTGTTAGAGAAAGGTAGGGTTTGAATATATGAAAATCAAAACTATAGAACAGTGAAAACTGTACAACGATGAAACTCAACCACCGCTTAAGAAAATACTGGATACAGAAATTGCAGGACCATGAACTGTGAAGCCTGTGAGGTAATCAAACTATGCGTAAATGAGACTTTACGATAATGAAACCATATGAAAATGAACTATGAAATACCAACAATCGTAGGAGATGGAGAACACGACCACTGTTTACTCACAGAACACTTAAGTTGCGTAGATGACGGGTTACACCTTATTTTTGTTCAATCTACTCGCCGCATTTTCCACAGCAAAAACTGATAAGTTTTCTCGAGTTTGCTCTCTGGCGCGTTTGAGATTGGCAAAAAACATAGTAAATCATTATTTAGACTGGTCGTGTTTTACAAGAGCCTATATGTTTACATCGTACACAGAATGATAAAACTTATCTGAAACTTAGTCATTGTGGTATCCGGTTTAAAAGTAGAATTTTAAAATAAAATGCGTAGATCTGTGTAGCCTCACACTTTGTGAGGATATTGAAGAAGAAAAGTACTTCACAGTGCTCTGAATAATACAGACAGTTCTAATAAAAAGCGCCATTTTGAAAAATAATACACATCAGTTGTAGTTAGTTCAAATACATGTTTAAAAACAAATTACTGATTTTTCAAATATGCTGTAAGAACGTTGTATCCATAATGTGTTATTTAAAGTGTTAACAGTAATACGCGAGAAATATCCTATGAACCTATAAATTTTCAATCTAATTTTGAAATGATTCATCAACCGTTATGCTCAGACTTTAAACTGTAAACGTTACCAGTGTTAGAGCGAACAGCGTATAACGATAAAAATGAAATCGACGACAAAAGGTTGAATTGATTGTCATTTCAATACAAGCTTGTGACTCTAAACAGAGCTCTCCGTTGTGATGTATCACTCATTCTGTTAAAACATTAAAATAAAAAAATGTATGTTTCTTTTGAATTCCACTATGTGAGATTCTTGCTTAACAAAGATCTATATGAAAAACTTAAAAGTGGACTTGGAAATTTTGTGTTTTATTTTTTCAAGTTGTGTCACAAGTAGTCTTTGTGAATATTGCATGGAGCAGAAAGTACTTGGATAAAAAAATATCTGCCTAATTCCTAATTGTTACTCGGATATGTAAATGTTATAGGTTAAATGGGAAAGGCTTGTATAACAAACTATGAAGGGGGTTCTGGCGATTTGCAACTCTTTTTGTTGGGTTGGGTAACAATATTCTTGTTTTGCGTTGAGCACAAAGTGTAAAAGCTACTCCCTAATCTAATTTTAGGTTAAAAAGATTTTTACTCAGATGTTAAAATGCCACGCGAAATGCTACGTAGGCTTATACAACAAAGTCAAAAGAAACCCGTGCAATTTGAAACTCATTTGTCAAGTTGGGTTACAAATATAATTTACGAGTATTAGGTTGACAACATATTACTCAGATTGCTATGTGGTGTGAAATTAGTGATTTCAAATTCTGTTACGCAGATGTAAAGATATTCATCTCCGACATCACTAGTACAAACCCAATGGAATTGGATATAGCAACATACAACAAACTTGTCGGTTGGTTCTGGAGTTGGTTTATTTGCCGATTGGTTAGTTGGTTATGATATAGGTTAGGCTTCAGATCTCAGATGGATCTAACTATCCCGTCAACAGAAGGGTTTAATAAGCTATGACCCTTGGATTGAGATACGTATAATACGAGTTTGGTTCTAACAAGTATCCCAAGACACTCTTGCAAATAAAGTTCGCTTAAAGCTTGTGAAAAGTACACAGTGCCTCCTTCTGTCTGCTGGTGTGTGTCAACAAGACAGTTCACAACAGGCTAGCGAGAGCAGTAGACTAGTAGCAGCGACTTGGGTTATTTTTCCCCAAGCATTTAATAAGAACATTCGGTGCAGGGTCCGGTCGGATTCAAATTCAAAGACAACTTCTGCAAAAAATTTCTTTTCCATTGAAAACGTGTGGTATTTAGGTTTTGGAAATCGTGAAAAGGACAGCCTGACAAAACAGGAAATTTCCCAGGTGTTAGAATTAACAAGCATTCGGAAAGGGTTCCCTCGACTTGTGAATTGTTAGTCCGTACAAAACTCTCGTCTTTGTGATGAAACTGGCGCTAAGCGCCGAGCTATTGCCGTGCCGAACCTCTAAAAAATCCTATTATATGTTCTGAACTGCAGTGGCAGTTGCTCTATGCCGACCTAGATTTTACGCCTGCCAAACTTAATTGACGTCTTTAGCTTTTGTCATTCACACTTTAACTTGGCTGTCATTAAAGTCAAACAATTTTTAATTTATTCAGTTGGAAGTGCGTGTTTTATAAAATTCGGGACAAGGTTTTGCATAGCGGCCACCATCTCTGAAATGTATTGGTGCAAGGCGTTTCTTCTGTAACTAAGCGAAAGCTTGCCCCTAATAACGAGGTATACCAACAGTGTCTTTAGTATGGAGGATTCAAATTGCTACGTTAACGTAAATTTAAAGAACTTTATAAATATTCAACTCGCAAAAGGCTTAATCAGTTGATGAAAATGTCACACTCAAAGTTGAGGACATGACAATATTAGTTATCTTCAAGCAAATTTGAATTCTCAATTCTGATTGGTCAATCCTTAGCAACAAACAGTGTGATATAAAACTGTATTGTACGGTTCATATCAAACCCCGGGACACAGACACGCTACATTATTCCGTATTCCACAAGTGTGATAATGTCACACTGTTTGTTGCCATGGATCGACAGAGATCGAGTTTGCCATGCACGTAAATTTCCCTATGGTGTACTTTTTTGCTTTTTTGATCTCTTTTAGGACCCGAACAATACGGGCGATTCACAATAGTGCGCCACCAAGAGTTTGCAACACGTTGGCCAATCATAACGCGCGAAATTTGTCGACCCTTTCCAAACGAGCAGTGGGTCGACAAATTCTGATTGTGGTCGCGCATTGTGATTAGCCAACGCTGAAACTCTTAGTGGCGCATTATTGTGAAACGGCCGTCATTTTGAAATTGTATGTTTGCCATGAAACCTCGAATTTGCAAATACGAAAGTGGAGGACCTGACGACAGCATACAATGACATCTGTTGAAATTCTAATGATCATTAATAGCCCTAACCATCCTTGATCCAGGAGGACCCAGGACTGTTAGGGTTAAACATTTCTGGTTATGAAATCAATTAGGACTATAAATGTCGCCTAAAGACCTTGCCCAAGTTGAAAACTGCAGTGTGAAACAAGCAAGTTCAGTTCACCACGGCCTCGACCCAGGCTGTGGACTTTTCCTGTTGTAAAGTGACAGTGCTCAGGCAATCGACGGTTCACATACAGCGTTGTTAAGGCCTCGATGCACAAAAAAACGAGTTTTGTACGTGATCCCTTAAGTCCCTTTTGTGAAGGAATGAATAAAAAATGTAGCCCGTCAGAAAGTTAAAACCAGATTATCTAACCGGCCTTGTCACAACCGGTTTTATTCTTTAGGCCCACGAAAATATCACGTTTTGGTTTTAAAGTTAGACATTTTCTCATCAAATTACTTATTTTGGAAATGATTCGGAACACTTCGAGAGAGGCACAGCCTCGTGTCAACCTAAAATGTGACCCGCCCTGTGAAAATCAGTCTTCAGGAAGACAATGTTTTACGTGTCCGTCTTCATGGCATTCAGTGTTCGCCCTTCCCACCTTCTTTTAAAGGCGTTGTGAACCAGCGAATTCGATTTTGCACCCACAAAATGTGCCCCAGTGGAGTAATAAATGAAAGGGTGCATATTCATTGGTGACGTATCGTCCCAAATCGGCGTCCAAGATAATCCGTAACAATGTCCAAGCGATCGAGATATCACGTTAATATCCAAATTTGGCCCAAGCATATTCACTTGAGTGGACTACCATGACCCACATGCATATTCGTAGAATGAGGTACAAAATAACCTGCAAAATAAAAATGTTGGACGTGGGTTCAGTAAAACCCTAGAGATTCATTGTCCATCCAGGGCAGCACATGAACTGCTGCCTTGACCTACAAGTTGCGCAGTCAGCTCTGTCGATAGCAAACAGAACGGTCGTTGCACAAAGCACTTGTCCGCGGAGGTCGTAGGACAGCATTTTCAGGTAAGTGTTTGCATAAAACGTCGTAATGGTTAAAAGGTTATTTACTGGAATTTTCGTCCTTTCTGGATTCTCGCTGCAAACTTCAGTGCCATATCAAACATTGTGGTACCACACTATTTCGACAGGCAAATGCTTGCCAACGCAACAAGGAGACATGTTCATCGTCGATGAAAAGAGGGGACATTTTATGTTCGATCCTATCATACTGTATGCCTTTCAATAAAAACCTTCTTCACGATTTCACCTCTAAATGAACTGCAACCACGCATTGTCTCCAGTATTGTCGCAATACAGATTTTCATCGTGGTGAGCATTCTGACTTTCCACCACTTATATCTGGCGGCAGTCACTTGATTTAACCCCAATTTAATGAGAACAGCCTATACTTTCAGGTTATGCCCATTATTCAAACGTCAGGTCGGCAAAACAGTTGATTGTTAGCTTAGTGCCTGTTATACGGATCGGCACACCTTAGGGTGGTAACTAGTTAGGCTTATAAAAAACAATCAAAAAAACCTTCGAGAGTACGGTGTATGGTGAAAAATGCCCACTTTAGTAACGCTTTCGAAACTCGGTGCTTTGTTGGTTTAGAAGTCTGTGCACAGTGCAGGGAGAGAGAGGAAAAAAAATAACGCCCTATGGCGTGGAGTGCCTGATAAACTGCTGCGCCCGACCAGAAGGTGTTTTCTTTTGGACTTGAACCCTAAGTTCCCTTAAGGGGCCGTGGATCCCTGAGGTGTAGATGTTGCATCCCTTCTATGTTATGACCAGGAGAGGCGCAAAGAAATCTTACGTTTTCAGTTTTAACCAGAATGGACACAGGGCCCGAAGGCAATTCACTTTATTATTGGTACGATAAAAATGCTTTATCAGCAAGTTCGTGTGAATATGTTTTACATGTGCTTGCACTCAGCCCTATTTTAGGGACATGTACAGTGCATAACAGGTGGCAGCGTCATTTGATCCAGGGGGCTTTTTTTTTTCTCTGGCCTGTCACCATATTTGGCGGCATGCATATGAAATGCAAAGCACATTCTTAAACCAACGAGAAACGTTGGTGGGTGCAGTAGTGGCCTGATTTTGGCGCAATGTTTTCACTTTTGTTAGTCATTGAAAAGGCAATAACGATTCTGTTTTGTGCACACTTCTATATACGGTATTAGTAAAGATATTATGGCACTGAAAATTGAAAAAAAAATCTAAGCCCTTGCCCTCCATTCTTAATCAAATAAAAGTTATCGGTTTTGGCTATTGGAAGATCTCTGCTGTAATCCAACGATGACTTTCAAAAATTAAAGTCAAGCAGGAAATTGTTGCTATCGCCCTTTCAACGGAAAATATTATTGAGCACCCGCAAATTTCAATAAAGTGCAATTTAGCCCCACCCCCGCCCATTTTTACTCATTCTCATCACGTATGTTTCAGAGGGAAATTATTAACTGCACGTGTCCCATTTTTAGGGTCATTTGCATGTGTAACGAAGGCCATAATTCGTGCCAGGGAAGCAGCTGCTTCATTTCATGAAATTTATGTCTTTTTTTCACTTTTGGAAATAGAAAAACATCTGCCTGAAATATTTTCAGGGTAAGATAAGGCCTTTTCCGGCGTGTTTTGTGAAAATAAAAATTGAGAAATAGCACCAGAGTGATCAAAACTAGTGATTTTTGTGAAAAGCTCTTTTCGTAAGCGGTAGTTTGTTTACGTTTTGATGCCATTTTTGAATGCTCGAAACAAAGAATTGAAGTTTTCCTGAAGTTTTCAAAAGTGGGCTGTGGTGGGGGAAGGTGTGAAGATTTCAGATTAGCTGACCGTGGGTTTTGCGCTAGATTTTTTTTTCTCTTCCCGACCGGACGCGCTTGCATATCGACCTAAAACTCAACATTGATTCTGTTCATCCCGCATAATCTTACGGCCTTGTGAGCGTAAGAATTCAGTGACTCAGGAACGAAAGACGAACGCAATAGTACAGTACGTTAACATGAAGTTTATTACTTCTATCCACCATTGTAACACTTCCAGGAAATGTTGAAATTAACCTTATATATCCCCAGTTTAATATGTACTGTAGACGCATGAACCACATGAACATGTACATGTACACCGGCTCCAACGAGAATTTCCATGTGGATGTACATGTGCATGTACATGTACATGTACATGTACGCCGCGGTACGCGGTCAACAGGCCGCACTCGTGTACCGTGAACGGTAGGCCTACTTTTACGTGGCTATCGGCTTTCATGCACTGATAAAACACGTAGCTCGCACTGGGCTGAAGTATCGAATATAACTCACGAAAGTCGAACAAAAAATCTAGCTAGATAAAACTGATTGTATTGTGTAGTTGAGATTCTGGCGTGTCGTATGCAGTGTCTCACTGTTCTGGGAAGCTTCTGAAAATTAAGAAATTTAATGATAAAAGAAAATGGAAATAATCTATCATCTTAGCATTGCCAACCACTTTGAGGCTAAATTTCATCTTTATGTAGCATTTCTTTCCATGATTCTGTAGTGTTTTATTCGGTTTAAGCCTTCTGGAGCACGTACAAAGATTTTCAAGGTGATCATTCCTTAACTTTGTGCAAATGAAATCTTCAAAACGAGAAGTCTCAACAGAGGATTGGCAAGTTCCAAAGGACAATTCCGTTTGGTTCAAGATGGTC